AAAGAAAGAAAGAAAGAAAGAAAGAAAGAAAGAAAGAAAGAAAGAAAGAAAGAACCCCACACAATCTTAAATGAAATACCAATAAACAAGGCACCTGTAAACCCAGGCATGGAAACTTTCTTAGTCATGTATTGAAATGAGAGGCAGCAAAAGGTCATAGGACAGCAATGCTCACAGATCTGGAAAAGGTAGGCAAGGGCGGTGATTCTGTCCAGGAAGACAAATAGCATGAGGCATGTCTGAGAATGCTGGGAAGAGAGGAGGACCGCCCTGCCCAAAGGCCCGAGCACCCAGCAGCACTCTGCTGGCTCTCCATCTTGGTCTGAACTTCCTTGACACAGGCGGTGGGATACCAGCTGGAGCACACAACTGCCAACCAAGTCTAGATTTCACACGAACGACAAACCCTCAGACCAAGTCTCTCTCACCTGAAAAGCCTACACTCTATAGTGCTTGACCGCCTACTGAGCTTTAGGTTAGGAATGTGCAGGCTCAAGTAGGGGCAAGCATTCCAAACCCCAACTCCAAAATCTGATACGCGGCCGCTCCTAAGTCTACACACGGGCTACTTCGTCTGTTCTAAATCTACTTAGGTCTCTGTGTGCCTGGGCTGGGGGCTGCGTGGATGTGGGTAACCTTGGAGGGCAGAAGAAGGCGTTGGGTCCCCTGGAGTGGGAGTTACTGGCAATTGTGGGCAGCCCAACATAGGTGCTGGGAACCCAACTCAGGTCCTCTGGAAGAGCACCATGTACTCTTAATCACTGAGCCATCCTTCCAGGCCCCAACCTGTTCTTAAGTACTGTGGAGAATTTTATGTTTTTTAGTATTTAATCCTATGATGATAAGCACATGCTCCATGCAGATTTGAGGATACTCTTATACTATTGAGGAATCTGGCACTTAGCTGCAACTCAGATTTCTCTGTGAAGCCAGTATGCTTTACTTGGCACCCACCGGCACCAGACACTAAGACATGAACTGCGTGCTGGGTGTGCCTGCTGCACCTAGGCATCTATCTTGTCATGGTAAAGACTCAGGACGGCAACCCAGTGCTTCACTTGCTTCAATCAGGTGAACTGGGGGCTTTAGAGATGGCTCAGCGGCTAAGAGCACTGTCTGTTCTTCCAGAGGACCTGAGTTCAATTCCCAGCAACCATATGGAGCCTCACCACCATATATGCAAATAGAGTACTCATACACATAAAATAAATAAATCTTAAAAAAAAAAAAAAGATGCTGAATTGCCTCTACCCAGGAAGCACCATAAAATGGCAGAGGCCTTGGCTAGCACTTGCTCCGCCTTCCCGTAGATATTTATTCCAAGTTCCCTTTTCATCAGGTACACATAAAAGACCCTCACAGCACAGCAAGCTGCACTGGGTGAGGCCAGCAGGCAGGAGAGCAGGGAGTGAGCTCCCACAAAGGGCTGGGGCAGGGTGCCGAGGTCCCACTCGGGTCCCACCCGAGGCAACACTCACCCCTGACAGCCTGCTGGACATAGGCTGTCGTCCCGTCGCTCAGGGTCACCGTCTGCAGCCCCAAGCTTTCCATGACAAACTGCCGCTTGTGCCTTCAGACATGAAGTTGGCTTCTGGCTACCACCGAGGTCAGGGATTTCCTTCTGGGTCACCAATCTGAGAAAATGGACAGTGCCACATAAAAAAAATGTCTCACGGATTCCTCCTGCTGCAAGCCATGAGTGAGGCCAGCCAAGGGCACACAGATCCATTGGCAGAGAACTAAGCTGCTTCCTGTGGACTGTGTGTGAGATGCACACACAGAGCTCTGAGTGGTGAGCGCAGACGCATGCTGCTCAGGCCGCTTGTGACTTAAAAACCGCTCATCTGGACCCTTTGAAACTCGCTTCCCGTGGGCGGGCAGGCGGCCTTCCTGCCGGGCACTCTCCTTACTTAGCACCTGTCCTGTGCTGGGATCCATCCATCCACTGGCACTGTCGACCCTCCTCAAGGAACAAGGGGCGGTTGTCCTGCCTTGATTTGCCTCCTTGTCTGCTTCCTTTCCCTTTGGCCCTTTCCCAAGGCCTGCCCCACTGCTCAGGCTAACACTGATGACGGACACAACCGTAACGCATGCCAGGCACTCCTCCATGTACTCCGTGCACTGATCTGTCGCGCGCTAGGTGCACTGATCCCTTATGGCAAAGCGCACACGATCCCGTACAGGTGAGGCTACTGAAATTGGGCATTGACAACAGGGAGGCACAGACACCAGGGGAGGCAAGCTTCCCAGCAATGATGGGTGGACTTGCCCCCGGGTCCCTCCCCAGAGCCAGCTCTGCACGAACAGCTCGGTGGAGCCACCCCGGGATGCAGAAGACAGCAGACTAGCGCACGCCCCCGCACGGGTCTTCTCCACTTTGCAAAGGTTCACCTCTCATCTGGTCCAGATCTAAATTTTTCACAGATGACAAACATTATTCTGGGAGGGACAGAGGCTGATGGGGACAAGGGGCAAACAAGTCAGAGACAGATTTGAGGAGACAAGCAGGAACAAAGTGATTCTGCATTTGCTACTACAGAAGAGGACGTCAGTGCACACAGAGACCCAAGCCTAATTCTGTGGCTTTCTAAATGATGAAAACAGGAAATTAGTAACAGAAAACTGTACAGCTCAAAGCATCATGCACACATCTGTCAAAGGCAGGCTGGCTTTAAAAGCCCAGCTCATTTTTGCAAGGTTATATGGCTGCTGCAACACATCACAGAAAAGGCAGTGGATCTTTCCAGTTCCAAAGGGCAGAGGATGCAGGTCCGTATCATTACAGAACAGAACCCATTTCAACCAAAATGCAACCTTAGTTACACACTTAGGTGGATTTTAGTACTAGACTTAGGAACGCCCAACATGGTGATCATGGCAGGCTCTCACGCTCATTTTTAGTTCACGGAAGTCCAGAATCAAGGCATTTGGAGGACTATACTAACTCTGAGTGGAAATTCTGGACCAAAATCAAAAGAGGTGTGCAGAGTATACCTTTATTTTTATCTCTTTAATTTTTTCACTGACCATAGAGAAACTCAGCTGCTTTAGAAGCCTCACCCACGGCTGGCCATGCTCCGTGGTGTGGGAAGGGCCCACACATTGCCAGAGAACAGCAAATGTCGCTCTCCCCCAGGCTGCAAGTGCTGTGAGCTGCAGCGACGGCCTGCTTCCAAGTTCACCCAGCAGTGCAGCAGCGGCATGTTAGGGAGTAGCCGTCCTTTGAGAGGTGCCTTTAATTGTAGCACTCGGAAGGCAGAGGCAGGTGTATCTCTGTGAGTTCAAGGCCAGCCTAGACTATACAGCAAGTTCTGGGCTAGCTGAGGATATACAGTAAGACCCTGCTTCAAAAAAGAAAAAAAAGAACGAAAGAATGGTATTAGAAGAGCACTTATCAAGGTATTCAGCTGTAGTCACCACTGGCTTGTTAGGAAAATCAATAGTAGGGGAAATTTTTAATTAAAAACACTGTAAAATATTAAAACCATAGCCACAAGCCGGGTGTGGCAGCTTCACGCTGTGATCTTACAAGGTGGTAGAGGAGATCTCCAGGACTTCCGGGTCATAGGCCAAGGCTACAGAGTCAGCCTATCTCAATAAAATAAAGAGGCAAAAGATTTAGGAGGCATCTTCACAGAAGATGTAACTAAAAGCCAGCTAGCCTGGAAGACCATTAGAAGGGTGAGTGCCCGGAACACTGACAGCATCAAATGCTGGCCAAGGATGCGGGCTGACGTGAACCTGAATCCTGCCACCAGGCATGTGAGAGGGGAGAGCCACTGGAAAACGGTTTGGCGGCCAATTAAGTTTGTGCTAGGCACAACCTTTCCATAGGATCCAGTGAAGGCTCCTTGTTATTTATCCAGGTGAGTGAGAACACGTGCATGGATGTGGTTACTCAAAGCTGCCCAAACTCAGAGAAGCCAAGATGTCCTGACAAACCGGGGGACAGCTCTGTGGTGGAATATTTTAGAATGTGTGTGTGAGAGTGTGAACACATGTGTCTGAGTGCATGTGGAGGTCGAGGGCTGGACGCTGACCTCAGTGTCTTCCTCAATCACTCTGAACCTCACTTTTTGAGACAGGACCTCTTGGGGACCTGAAACCCACCGACTGGCTAGTCTAGTTGGCCAGCCAGCTCTGAGGCCCTGTCTATTTCCAGCTCCCCAGCGCTGGAGCCACAGATGCACACTACTGCACCCAGCTCTTGTGTGGGTGCTGCGGACCCTCATGCCTGTTAGCACGGAAGCTACGCAGTGGCGCTCCGGGAGGGCAGGTCCAGTCTCCAAGATCATACCCTCGGCGGCATTAGCACGCCACACACGGCGGCGCCCCCGTTATTACTTTATGGATGGGGAAGAGAGGAGATTGACCAGTACATCGCTCTGGCAGCTCTCACAGCCTCTGAACTGCGCCCAGTACACCATCATGCGCCTTGTTTGTCCTGAGCCTTGAATGCATCGACACTCACAGTGGCAGCGGAGGTGACAGCTCCCGTCTGGCCTCACACGGCTTCAGAAGAGAGGCTGGGAACTGTAGGCTCACACAGCTACCTCCTGGCAGAGCCCAGGCCCTCTCCTAAGCCTCTAGTTTTTCCTTCTACAAGCGCCTTTTGCCTGGTACTGGGACAGCAGACAGTTGCTGGGGTCTCACAGACCTGCATGTCAACCTGCTTATCAACAGCTCCACTCTGCTCTCCAAAAATCTCTCACAAATAACATGTTTGCTCCAGGACAGCCAGGGCTACACAGAGAAACCCTGTCCCAAAGAAACAACAAAGCAAAAAAGTGAATTCCAGTATTGAGAGGGCAAAGAAACCCCTGTGAATTCTGGGGCTGAGGCTAGGGGCCTGATGGTACATGTCTGCAATTCCACCCTCCGCAGGAGAGATTATAGAGTCCCGAGAGCGCAGTGCTGACTCCTTGTTATTCATCCAAACGAACTAGAGCACATCCATAGAGTCTTGGCTACAGAGCAAGCTGGAGCCCAGCCTGGGCAGCATGAGCCCCTGGGCCACACAGGAAAAACAGACAAACAAAAAACCCATCAATTCCCGTCAATCCCTCCTTACAATCTGATTTTCCAAACTCCCTCCCCTTAGGAAATAGGAATTCTACCCTCTAGTCACCCAGGCTACAAATGGGAGCTGTCCTCAGCGCCATTACTTGCCACATTCAATCCATCCTTCTGTAGGGTAAGTCCACAATTCAACAATTTCTAACTCCTTTACTTTGAATCCAAGCCATCAACTTTTCTTTTCTGTGCCTCTACAGGAGGTCCCCCCGCGCCCCCCCCCCCCCCTCCCGCTCACCAGCTCCCACTGCATTAGCCTTCCATCAGTTCCCGCTGCGGAAGCCCCCCCCCCCATCATTTCCCACTGCATTAGCCCCCATCAGTTCCCGCTGCGGAAGCCCCCCCATCATTTCCCACTGCATTAGCCCCCATCAGTTCCCACCACAGGAGCCAATCAGCGCCTGTCCTTCCACTCTGTCCCAGTACAGCTTATTCTCAACAGAGGAGCTAGGATGAGCTTTCAGAACATGCGTCAACTGATGTCCCTTATCGGCCTAGACTCCTCCAGTGGCTGGCAGCCTGTAAGACTCAGGACCTACTCCCAATCCATTGCCCATCTCAACAGCCCCTGCTTTTCCCCTCATCAGACTGCAGGCATTTGGGAGCCGCAGTCTGGCTGGCTCCTCATGTTTTTGGAACATACAGGCTTATTTCTGCCTCAGGGCCTTTGAGCTCGCTTGTCCACTGTTACAAAAATAACTTCCCTCAGATATATACCAGGCTCATCCCTAACGTCTTTCAGGTCTTTGCTCAAATGTCACCTTTTCAGCAACACATTCCTTGCCTTTCTGTCTAAAACAAGAACCCTGGCCACTCTCTTCTCTATTTAACAGTTTCAGTTGTCTTTTTGTTGTTGTTTGTTTTGATTTCTCATCTGTTCTCTCTTGTCTATTCCCCAAAGGTGAATTCGGTCCTCTATTCCCAGCACCTAAGGGTGTACACAGCAGACATAGACTGAATACTTCTAGATGGTGGAATGGCTTGATCAGTGAACGAACTCCTGTGCCATCAAGATCTCCGAGCAGGCGAGGGGGAGAAGATCCTTGCTGAGTCTGGTCTCTGTAACCCTGGGAGGGTCCACCACCGCCTCACCTTTGTTCCAGCTCCAGCCCAGCTAACACCCACCAGAAAGCGCACCTGAGCTGTGGAACGGGGCGGCGCCAGGGCAACAGGTTCCTGTTGCTAGGATAGTGCAAGTCCCAGGCCGCCAGCACAGAATTTTGCAGAGTGCTAATTTTTAAATTTAGCCTTCTGATCTCTCACACACAGGAGAGGCCGGATACAGGTTAGGGCTAAATACTGTACTTAGCCTAGCTAAGTCCTGATTCAGCAGCAGAAGCTCATGTGATTGGAGGTGTTTTCCAAGGAAGGGGGCTAAATGTGTACACATTCATCTAGCTAGGTCCCCTCCCCACAGCCCACCGCCTTCTGACGTAGCTTTCCAACACACAAAAAAGTAGCAACAGTAGTATGAAAACTTTTCACGGGCCCAACAGATTCCAACAGCCAGCTAGCAACCTTGGTGTCCTGTCCAAGGAAACCAAACAGTTCAGATAGCCATTTCTTGAAAGCAGTCCCTGACCCTGTGACCACTGGATCCTAACACCCTTTAGAACTATATTTACTCTGTGTGTGCGCGCTCGCACCCACAAGCATGCCATGGCATTTGTGCGGAGGTCAGAGGACAGCTTGGAAGAACCAGTCCTCTCTCCTCTATATGGGTCCTGGGGAATCAAACTTGTACCTGCTGAGCCATCTCGCCTAGTCTAGTGTGCCCACGACCAACGTTTTTGGGGCTTACTTACCTAAAAGCCAACAAACCAAAAGCCCGGCACTGTTACCCATTCCCTCACCAGATGATTAAACACAGAGGTGTCTAAGTTCTGCAACGTCTGGCCTGTTAGCATGCTGAGAGAGCTCTGTGGGAGGAGGACACAGCCACACAATGCATCTTGCTTTCTGTACATGACACAGAATTTCAGAGTCCACTCAGGACAGCAAGCAATGGCTGACCACCATCTAAAGACTAGGGGGATGAAGACATCAGGAGAGAAAAGGTCCTAGCCTCTGCCCTCAAGGAAGGCCCAGGGCGGCTGGTAGGAGGCAGAACACGTCCTGTACCCCAGGAAAGATAACAGCAACCTAGACTGCAAGATCCTCCTGAGATCCGCCCACAGGACGCTGCAACTTCACCTTCTGGTGATTACGGCCACGCAGCCAGCACTGGGTGGGGGGTGAGCCACAGATCAGGACTGGCGGGCATGGTTTTTAATGTCATTTTTGCTAGTCACCATCCAGCTTCCATTGGAAGGGGAGCCAAGGGCTTGGAAAACAATAGGACTAATTCAGTGTCAGCCAGGGGAGGCTAACGGCACACTCTATCCTCACAGGGTCTGAAGCAAAGCAACTTCAGAGAGAGGCTAGGAGACACAGCCGAATCGATTCAGAAGGGTTCCACGGGCTCTCTCCTTACTACCTAAAGACAGGGACTTTTGGGGCTATTAACTGAATCCACCAGATGTTCCTGGAAGAGAGAGGAGTTCTCAGGACAACACAGAGGTTCAGGATGTCTCTGATACAGGACTGAAAGTGGCAACCCCAGAATTCAAAGCCACGGAGAGTAGGAGAGCAGAGCTGGGCAGAAAGGAGAGTTACAATATAATCAACTTGTTATCAAGATCTGTGAGAGGGCTAGAGAGATGGCTCTGTGGTTAAGAGCACTGTCTGCTCTTTCAAAGGACCCGGGTTCAATTCCCAGCACCCACATGGCAGCTCACAACTGTCTGTAACTCCAGTTCCACGGATTCTGACATCTGTGAGGTGAGGGTGCTGACCCATACAAAGGAGAGGGAAGGAGGAAGGTGTGGGCACTGTGCAACAGAGACAATTTGTTTGGAAACGAATTCTTGATGAAAATGGGGGGGATGCGATGCAGGCCCTTAAGGGAGCGCATCTTACAATGGTGAGCATACAGGTGTGTGAAGGGTGGGGCTGTGCCCGGGCAGAAGTGACTCAGTTTACAGAGGCCAATGACAATGTCACCAGAAGAGCTAATAAGAGGTTTCAGGAAATAGGACATGGCTGAGGTTGGCAGACGTTAGGGGAAGAGCCAGAACAGAACAGAGGCTGAAAACAGGTTTCCCATAGCACAGGGACACTGATTCCTCAGGCATATGCACCAGGAATGGATTGGGGTGATTATCAGTGATGTCAGTGAATGGGGGCTGGGAGCGCCAAAGGCCCAGAGACATAGGGTCTGGGCATACAGCTTAGCAGTACAGCGCTGGCTTAGCATGACAGGTGTTAGGGTTACCATGGCTCAGGACATGCCCCAAACATGGCAATCTGAGGACATGAGAACTAAGGTCTTCTCTGAAGCAGGTCAGAAGACCCTGAGGTAATAGGTGTCCTCCCTTGCCCAGTGGAAAAAAGCATCCTTATTTTAAAGATGCAGGTCACAGGTGAGAGCCTGAACATCTGAACATCCCACTCTCTTGGCCTTACAGTTTTCTTGAACTATCTATCTTCACCAAGCCTAGAATAAAAAAACGGGTTTAATCTGTGGGTCTTCACCTCAACTGACAGCTCTCCATCGATCAAGTTATACTAAATAAATTTGGATGCTTTTTCCCTGTTGTTTATAAAATTATAAAGGCTGCTGGGAGTGGTGGCACAATGCCTGTAATCTAGCACTAGGGAGGCAGAGGCAGGCGGATCTCTGTGAGTTCAAGGCCAGCCTGATCTACATAGTGAGTTCCAGGACAGCCAGGCTACACAGAGAAACCCTGTCTCGAAAAACCAAAAAAAAAGAAGTGTATGTATGTTCCTCCCACACAAGATGTGGGGTGGGGGTGGGGTCTTAAGGGATAAGATGTCAAAGGTCATGAACAAGATGAGAAAAGTCACTAAGTCTTGGGACAAAGAAGAGCAGAAACCTTTCAAGTTATTAAATAAGCGGATGTTATGTTTAAGAATTACAAGAAAGTAAGGAAGAGGGTCTGAGGAGAATTTGGGAAACCAGGAAGTCAGGGTATGAGAGACAATGGAGCACATGGGTTTTCCAAGATGGTTCAAATGTGTGAATTCCAGATTCCTTTATTTAAAGCAGCTCCCGGGAAAAGGCAAGAGGGAGTAGTGACAGATGTAACTAACAGTTGGGGCTTGTGAGAGGCACAGTTACTTTATCTAGACAAAGCCTGAGGTACAGTAACTGCGGGAGCTACGAAAGGTAACAGTGAGGGGTGCAGAGCCCTCCTCAGAGACGGGGACAGGAATTCCAAGATGCAGCAGTAGTTCCTGGTATGGGATGCCTGCTTGCTGTCTGTGGAGCCCCTAGCGCCCAGGACAGATGGACCTCCACTAAGAACAACCGCTGTACCTGAAAGGCCTGCTGCGGGCCAGCGGCGGTACGGAATGTTCTGCACGTGTTACCTCAGGCATTTTACCATCCTCCCTTGGCAGAGCTGGAGACTAAGGGGCCGGGAAGGCTCTACACGGTATGTCAAAGTGCCTTGGCTGAAGGGCTAAGCTTGTGATGTCAACCTCCCAAAAGCTCTCTGCTATATCGCTTCACAAGCTAATAAGAGTCCAATCAAGCGTCGACCGTGGGAATGAAGAAAAATGATTCAATGAAGCAAGTGGGTCCTGGGGTGAGGTTACAGGACTACCCTTCTGGGACAGGGTACAGAACGGTTCCCTAGTTTGTCTTGACTACAAACTGCCGAACTTTAATTGGAAGAAACATTTGGGATTGCCAAACTCAATCTCATCACAGAACCTGAAGTCCGGCATAGGGAAAGGACCTCTGCCAGGTTCCCGTAGCCCAACATGATAGCACCTGAACTTGAACCACACACTCAATCGAGAATTCTTTGCTGCCTCAATTGAGACTTCATATTCATATCATATATACTCTTCAGCACCACAACGGTGGTGGTGGTGGTGGTGGCGGCGGCGGCGGCGGCGGTGGGGACTTAAGTTATGTGCTGATTGACACTGGAGGCTGGGGGGGGGGCGTCAAAGAGGGATGTCATTGGGGTGAAGATGATCATGGTGTTACAGCGCAGAAGACCACGAGAGTTATGTGGATGAGTGGGTGGGAAACTACTGGAGTCTGGTTTGCAGTAGCCAGGAGAGGTCTGAAGGGTGTCCACAGAGGGGACTCTAGGGGTCACTAGGGACCGTGGGGGCCCTGAAGCAGTGTGATGATTGTATCAGAACTGAGCTCTGGTGGGCTGGAGTTAGCAGTCAGTGATTGGGGGGGGACCGGGGAGGGGTCACCTGGTGAGGTCCGGGGTCAGCGGGTGAGGTGGAGGCGGGCGCGGTCACGGGGTGGGGTTTGGGAGTCTCAGGGCGGAATAGAGGGGCAGGGACCCTGGGTGGGGGTGGGGCCAGGCCGCCGTCCAGGGAGGCCCGGCCGCCGGGCCGGGGCCCGAGGAGGGTGGGCACGTCGGGCTCGGGACCTTCCCGGGGCCCCGCGTCCGCCCGGCCTCCCGCCTCGGGGCACGGTGGACCCACTCTTCCCGCGGCCACCAACCTGACAGCCCCCGAGGGCGACTCCGCCGACAGACCGCCATGCACCGGGCCCTGCCGCCAGCGCCGGCCCCGCAACCCGCCTGCGCCATAGCCCGCCCGCCCGCGCGCGGCTTGCCTCGCGCGATATCCAGGTTCCAGGGCGGCCGCACTTCCCTCTCGCTCCCGGCGCGGCCTCCGCCGGGCCCCGGAACCCGGATGACCAGCGCGGGGCCACGCTCCAGCCCGCCCCCCTCCGCCGCGGCGGCCGGCCTGCTTATCCCGGTTCCCGGGCCCCGGAGGCCAGGCCGCCGAGTCTCCTCCGGCGAGCCTCGGAGCTCCGCCCCGCTCCCCTCACCGCTGGCCGCGGGGTGACGCGGCCTCGCCGGCCCGGGCGCCCCGGGGAGGGCGTGATGACGTCACGACGCCGGGTTGGAGGCCGCGGTCGCCATAGCAATGGGGATTGCTCCGCGGCGGGAGGAGGCCATCGCAGGTATCTCTAGGTGGTTCCTGGCAAGGACCGTGCGGAGGAGCCTCGAGGGGATGAGACTCCGAGGGACGGTCCTCTCCTGCGCCCTCTACGACGGCGCCCCGAGGGAATGGTACCCTGACAGTCGGGAACGGGAGGACGGTAGGGTGGGGGCGCAGCATTAGGAAGGATGGCGCCCTGACAGGCCTTCCTGGGGGCACGCCTCCCTACAGGACTCGCCCTGTCCGGTGTCCTGCGGGGCAGTGCCTTGGGGAACGTGTTTGTGAAGGATGCTGTGCCTTTAGGGACGCCCCTCCTGTCTCCCGAGAGGAAGGGCCTCTCTGCTGGACCCTGATGATACTCCCTGAGATACCGTTCTCTCTGAGGGAAGGTTCCCTGACAGCCTCTGCTGAGGAATAATCCTTCCTTCCCCAAGAGATGACATTTTGATGGATGGACCCCTGAGGGACAGCACCTCGACAGTCTTCTCGGGTTCTTGGGCTCTCCACCCATCCCCCTATCAGCCCCCTAAACCATCTGCTCCCCTTGAATGTGAAGAACAAAACAAAATGCCCCCTATTTCTTTTTATGTTTTTCTGTAGTCTTTTTTTTTTGGGGGGGGGAGGGCTTGGGAGGAACCTCAAACTCACTGTATCCCAAGGTGGCCTTGAACTTGTGATCCTCTTGACTCTGCTTCCCAGCTGCCACCCAAACTTCAAAAGTTCTTTTCTTGTTTCCTCTCCAAGCAGGAAGGAATTATGACTTAGGATATTTTTCAGAGAAAAGGAAAAGGAAATGAGCTCCCAGTTAGGAATGAGTAGATCCAGTGGGGGACCTGGGCCCACCCCTGCGCGCCTGCTGCCCTGACGTCTTAGTGCGGCACTGGAGTTTCCACCAGGTGCCCTAGTATAGCCCCAGTAGCCGGCAGCCCGGCAACAGGCATGGAACTTTCCCAGGGCTTTCCAGTACGGATTGTTGGTTGGAAATACGGCAGGAAAGCCAGACACTGCGATGGGGAGGTGGAAGCAGGAGGATCAAGAGTTCACGATCAGGGCAGGCAGCCTGCTAACCGTAGCTCTATCCCTGGAACCCACGTGGTGGAAAAGCTGTTCCCCCCAGCTGTCCTCTGAACTCCAAAGGTGCATGGTGGCATGCTCACACACACACACACACACACACACACAGTGGCATGCATGAGCAAGCACACAAACACATACGCACAATGAAAAGCTTCCAGATCACCTTCAGCCACTTGGTAAATTCAAAATACTAGAATTCAGGATGAACCGTCATGTCTGCCCAACTCCACTTTTTCCCATATAAACAAACGTCTCTTCTTGCAGATGGTAACTCTGCTCATTGCACGCCTCACTCCCATCACTCACCTGCGTCCTCCAATTACACGTGACAAAAATCAGAAACCGTTCGTTTATGGAATCTATTAGCAATAGGCTAATTCTTTTTTAAGTCGGCATCTCACTGTGTGGCCCTGGCTGGCCTGTTACTAGGTAGGCTAGACTGGCCTCCACTTTCCAAGTGCTGGGATAAAGGGGTGTGACCCTGTACCCAGCCGAAGTAATGACTCTAAAACATTTCAGGTCCGAAGAATTGGTGAGGAAGAATTTTTTTTTTATTATTTTGGTACTAGGAATCAGACTCAGCCTCATGCACACTGGGCATAGCTCTCCGCTGCTGAGCCACAGGTAAGGAAAAGGTAGGAGAGGGCGGCAGGCCATGGCGGCACTCGGTTGCTGTGGTATAGTGGCCCTGGATCTGTTTCTCAGTTTTGCAGGAATAGAACTTTTGTTGATTCACTTTTTTTAATCACACTAAATCAACCTCATAGGAAGTCAGTGTAATGAAACAGAATGCCAGCACATTTACGCTTCTAGCCATCTGTGGGGCGGATTATCTCCCTAGTTGAGAAATCTGTGTGGGGACTATCAGAGCTACAAAGTTTCAGACCGTGATCCCCGAATATGCTACCCCTGTCAAGCAGCCACATCTCACTGCTTGGGTATAATGGCAGTTCAGTGACCATGAAGTGACCCCCCACCACCACCACCACAGATGTTAGAGAGAAGGCGCAAGATTCTGGTGGCTCAACCCAAGGTATTGATTGCTCAGGCCAACTTTTTCCCTTGTTTCTCAAGCCATACTCTGAAATGACTATCCTAAATCGAGGCTCTTATCTATAAAAAGTTGGGAGTTGTTTGCCATGTCCGTGGCCGAGTGATGATGGTAGCAGCTGACTTACCTATATTTCATAGTTTTCCTATCTAAGACTATCTTCCATTAAAAAGAACACATTTGGGTGGCCATAAATGCTAGGAATAGGACATCTTTTTGTTGTTGTTTTGGTGTTTTCAAGACCGGGTTTCTCTGTGTAGCCCTGGCTGTCCTGGAACTTGGCAGACCAGGCTGGCCGAGAACTCAGAGATCCAGCTACCTCTGCCTCCCAAGTGCTAGGATTAAAGGGGTGTGTGCCACCACTGCCGCATGGAATGGAGCATCTTAACTAAAGTTATGTCCGAGCCACTTTTATCCTAGGCAGCTTTTATAGACTGTACTGTGGTTAAGAGGAATGATACTTTAAAGATTTATTTTGATTGTTTTTTTATTTATGTGTGTGTACAGAGACCAGAAAGAGGGTATCAGATCCCCTGGAGCTGTAATTACTGCAGCCACCTGATGTGGGTGCTGGGAACTGAATTCAGGTCCTATGCAAGAGCAGCAAGTAGTCTTAACTGCTGAGCCATCACTCCGGCCCGGGAGAACAATACTTTAAATATCCACCCATCCACCCCTCTCTTTGAGACAGGTTTCCATTGTATATCCCTGGCTTGCCTGACACCACATAGATCAGGCTGGTCTCAAGTTTGAAGAGGTCCTCCTGCCTCTGCTTCCTGAATACTGGCATTAGAGACATAAGCTGCCATGCTCAGCAAGGGAAAGTTCCTGATAATGCTTTTAAAGCTGGACAGGGACAAGAATTTCCAGCTTGAACTCTTCATTAAGATGAGCTGGGGTGGAAGGAGCCAGGCTTGCCTGGAAGTCAGAAGTCACTTCTGACTCTTAGGATCCCCTGAGCTGTAGGACAAGCTGTTGAGGTAGAAGAAAAGATGAATGCCAGACTGAGGAGTTTCATTTAGTATTTTAATAATATAAAAAAGACAATACAAAATTCAAACATTCCTCTTTACAAGTTCAGATACATAATTTTCCCCAAGTGCAAAATACTGTATGAACCACATTGTTGGTATTTACTGTCAGCTGAGATGCTTGCTGTATTGGCAGTGGAAGGCAGATATAAATACAGTATTGAGATTTTCTTCTGCATTAAAAAAAAAAAAAAAAGCCTTCCGCATGGTAATTATTCTCTGAAACTTCAACTCACACAGAAAATTCTTAGCTTGTCCAAACTGCTACCATTGTTTTGTCTTGGTAAGCTGAGAGCAGAAAGGGGCTTCTAGTCCCTCTTTTAAAGATTCCTAATCCGAATAATGGCAGAAGGGCAGCATGTGCTAGCTCTGAGACAGCGTCTGCTTAGGAGTGAAACCAGGCTGGGAAACGTCCTGCTTGGGGACAGTTACACATCGCCTCTGCTCCACTACTTGAAGCTCAGCAGCAAAAGCAGACACTTGAGTGTGTGACAGCCTCTTCTGACACACTGGGATACAACTTCCTAATCCACCTTAAGACACAGAGAAAAGGACTTTGCAGATTCACAAAGATGCAGAAGCCAGAGCCCAGACTGCACCACTGAACTTGAAGCAACAGATCTGTCCTTTTTCCTCCATGTTCCGGGGAACTGAGCACAATGATGGCAATCCTCTGAGGATCGCGGAAGGCATAGGGCAGGCTACTAAGGTCCCGGCTCTGGTCAGTCTTCTCCTAATTCTGAGAACCCCTTCACGCGTCAGGGATTGGCTGGCAGAGGCGGAGGGCTAAAGAGGCACTGAGGTGCTGCCAAGGACCCAAGAGCCTGCTTGAGATGTGTCAGTCACTTGGTGCTTAGAGGCCGCGTGGAAATGACTTCCCACGGCAGGACTCCCTTCAGAGCAGGTCTGTGCTAAGATGGATGAGGTGCCATGGTCCTGTGGCCTCACAGCCACCATGGCCCACAGAGAGGCTTCTGAGTCAGTTGGTAAGGGGTTCCTGTTACACCATCTTCCCTTCCCTGCCCACACTTCCTCCTAGAAACCTTTTGTCTAACCTGTGCAGTCCTAGAAAGTCCCTGAGTTGACTCCTCGTTCAATCCACTTTGCCCCCACTTAGATGCCCCAGGGCCTGTACCTTCCGTAAGTTCAGCAGCCGCTCTGCCTGGATTCCTCACTGCCAGCTTGGTTGACAGTGGCAAGTCCTCGCTTGATCTCCTCATCCATCTTGATAGGAGCTAGGCCTAGTGGCCTGAACCATGGAACGCATGTGCCCTCAGCCACAGAACAAATGATCACAGGCAGGATCTGCGCATGTGTGGTGTGATAGCAAAGGGAGCAAGGAGAAACCATATCCTAATGGCACATACTGGGAGGCACTGTGGCTGTGTGGCTTTCCAGGAGCTGGGCAAATGGCAGGGAAAGAGGACTCTCAGTTCTCCTTGCTTCTGGTAGGATAGTCAAGGCTGCTTCGGGCTGCTCTGTGGCACTTCTGGAGAAGTACAGACAGTCCACGTACCCTTCTTGAAGGAAGCCACTTGACAGCTTTACAATAGCTCTCTGACCCAGAAGACAGACAGCAGACGCCCACGGTGTTGGCTAACATGTCCAAGAAGCTGGCTTTGCTTGCCGTTGGCTGGCGTGTGTGGATCAGACTTTAGTGTTGCCTCTCTTGGCAGTCACCTAGGGTTGGACCTAAGGAGTCACTGGTGGCTGGTGACTGTCCAGGACTATGGTCTCGGCAACCGAGAAGGAGCAGTTGCGGACTTTATAGGGCGCAGAGCCTGGCCTTGGGCGTTGACACCATTCTTCCTTTTGGAGAGCAGCTGTTGAAACAGGCTTGAAGTCAGCTCTGCTGCTTCTCGTTCCTTCACCAGCCTCGTGCGTGGATACTTGTCCTGGTCTAGGCTGCTCCAGCCTTCTCTGGTCGTCTTGGGAGCCTGAGCTGACCCATCCCTAGAGTTCGTCCTGATCTTCTTCCGGGTGCATGCCAGAGGACAACATGGAGGCAAGAAAAGGCCAGAGGCTTCCCTACCTGCAGCAGATCACTGACCAGCTCCGTCTGCATCTATAATCCAGAGAGGCGCGAGGGTGGCAGTGTCAGCTTAGCCAACAGCCCTCTCCCCGCTTCATCAGGTCACCAGAGCTGCTCTCCTACACTTTGGCTGCCTGTGAGGGAATGCCCTGGCTCGGCACAGCTGAGGGTGGCTTCAGGCAGGACAGACATGCTCCAGCGCTCAAGGTTCCTGAGCGTCAAACTGCTATTCCTCCACTCCCAACACAGTCTTCCCTCCTGGGCAGCTATAAATAGGGTTATTCTAAGAGGAAAAAGAAACAAACGAAAACCAACCCCCCTCCCTCTAATCGACACAGAAAGACTCAAAAATGATTGCACTTCTCAGATGTGGGCACGGTGGCCAGGCGGCCTGCCCAGGGCACACATGCGTTCGTTCCTCTTGCTGCCCACAGCCCGAGGCCGGAGGTAGGCAGCTCCAGGCTGCTTGCAGAGTGGGGTCCTCTGGTGGAGCCCACAAGCCACCTGGGGCTACAAGGGAAAAACAGCTGTGGAGCACGATCTAGGCTGGCGAGGGTCAACGGCCAGGTTTAAGGACAGCACTTAGTAAGGGGAGTGGGCCCCCCCCCGGGGAACACTTAGGTGGGGTGAGGGTGTGGCTGGGCCAGGGAGGACTGGCAAGGAGGTTAGTGTTTGAGGCTGGCTTCTACTTGTCTGCAGTTGAGTCCTTTTGGTGATATTTGCTTTATGTTTTGGGCGATGCTTTGAAAACCTGCTTTCTGTCCTGCAGAGCTGGCTGAGGGTGCTCTATGTTGGGAGCGCCAGCAGGGTGCTGGCATACAAGGCTGCTGCTCTCCCTTACTCGGCTGCGGCTTGCCAGCCCAGGGCTATGGAACATGTAAGCCCTATGGAGCAGCCCCAGGCAGACAGCAGGGAGTGTTCCAGAGAACACCGACTGAGCGGGCACCCCGGGGCTCACGGTGTGCCCCGGCAGCCTGGCGTGGGCATAAACCTGTCGTGTCAAAGGCTTCTCTGGCAGGACTCTGGGCTGTGAAGAGTCACCCTGGGGAGCACAGCAGGGGCCATTTTGACTCCTGGCTAGCCAGCAAGGCACAACCCTATAATGGCAGAAGCCTTTCTTACCCACCCCTACTCCCTAGCAGGCCTGTTCCTCTCCTGGGCCTCCAGCACCCTTCCAGACTGACAAGGGGCCGGGGATGTGAGCTGGTAAGGTGGGCAGAGCAGAGCACCTCTTGGAGGAACAGAGACGGCTTGAACGGCTTTTCTAGGGGCCATGTAAAGAGAGAGACGGGAGACAAGGGAACTAGAAAGACAGAAGGGGAGTGCCTGCTGTAGTGATATTTCTCCTCCAAAAGGAGAGGGCAGTTTCTTGTCTGAGGTTGGGGTGCCAGCTCTGAGGGTCAGGGAGGCAGCGCTCTTGAAACCTGGGTCTCTGGGCCCACAGGCACTATTTGTAAGGCCTCAAGAAGCTGGAGACTTTGGAGCGCAGCAGCTTGATGAAGGATTTTGGCAGCATCTCCTTGTGCTTCTCTGTGTACTTGAAGTAGTTCTGTGGGTGGGCCAGGACCTCAAAGAAGGCCTTGATAAGCTTCTTGTCCTGCAGAAGACGGCAGGTGGCAGTCGTCAGCTTCCACGGCATGTGGGAAAGTAGCCCGTCTTCATGTCTAACAGCACCTGGCACTGAGCGTGCCTGGAGGTGAGCCCTGGCCGCCTGCTCCTACCATCCACTCCTTTAGAGTCCCATGGCTCCTTTAACGGCAGCTGTGGGCCTCTGCTCCCCAGGCCCGGTCTGTGGAGCCATCCTTGACCCCACTTTCCCACCAGCACAGCACACTGCTGAGTCTGCCCTCAGAATATGCCCAGCGTCTGGCCAGCTTGCCGTCTCCACAGCCGCTACCTCGAGCCAAGCCCCCGTGGTCTCTCACTTGGACTATTTCAACAGCTGATCTTTCTTTTGCTGATAAGATCCCGAGGGCTGAACCTCGGCCCTCACATACACTAGGCTGGTTGTCTTTCTCCCTTGTAGATTTACTTACTTAAGTATATTTCACCTCCGTATGTACGTGCACCAGGTGCACGCCCAGTGCTCAAGGAGACCAGAGGGCACTGGATCCCCTGGAACTGGGGTTATGGATGGTTCTGAGCCACCGTGTGGGTGCTGGAAACGAACCCAGCACCTCTGCGGAAAGTAACAAATGCGAGGCCGGCTTTCCAGCCCCCGGTTGTCCTTACTTGGTGCCTGAGATAGCGCGACCAGGCTGCTTAAACAGGCCTTGAGCTCACTTTATTGCTACAAATGACCTACGAGGTGCCCCATCGCCCTGCCTTGGCCTTTTGAATGGCTAGGATTAGAGGTGCGAGCCACTGGGCCTACACTTGGTCTCCTTGATTCTGCCCTTGACCCAACAGAGATGGTTTTCCTCATGGCAGCCACAGTAAGGTGTTTCATGGGTTTACTTCATGTTTGAAACACATCCTTGGTTTCTGCCCTCTGGATTCTCCTTCCTGAGGTGAGCCCCTGCTACCTTGTGTGGGGTAATCTTAAGGCCCTGGGTTCGAGTGACCCTTGCCCTCGAGCTGCCCCATAGCGGCATCTGCAGGCAGGTGCCATCATGTCTGGTAAAAGTCTGTTCTTTTTATAATGACAGTAACGGTAGTGCTGGGAACCGCACCAGGGCCTGGCGCCTGACAGAGACCTCTCCAGCCCTGGTTCCGCTCCACACCGATCCCACTCTTGTTCCTTTTGTCATTCCCAGTAAATCCCAGGTCCTGCGTGCGGCCTGCTGACTGCGTGTCATTTGTGCCCTGCTGCCCCTCCGCTCTTTTTCACCCTGCAGGACAGCGGGTCTCAGGGTCCACCACACCACTGCCGCCCTCACTAGTGGGGGCTCTCCCTCAGTCCCCCGACAGCTCCTTCCGAGTCTTCTCCGCGTAGGCCTCTCCTGACCACCTCGCTGCAGGGCTGGGCACTGTGCCCTAAAACTCCTCTCTAGGGCTGGCGAGATGACTCCCCAGGAAAGGCCTCTGCCAGGCAGCTTCCATTCCCTTCCCAAGACCCACCTGGGGGTGGGGGAGAGAACCAACTCCCCCGAGGTGTCCCTGGCCCCCACATTTAGATACTCCACACAGGCCACACCCATGCCCACGGAATCCCAGCTGCACTAAGAGCGACCTCCTGGCTTCTGTTGCAGAGTTCTAGGATAGGTGGCCTTCCAGCCTCTCCACTCCACTCCAACCAAGACAACTGCACCACACCGTCCCTCTGGTTTGAGACAGAGGCTCTCTCTGTGGCTAGGGCTGGCCCGAAGCTCACTGTGTGACCAGGCTGACCCAGAACTGACAGATCCGCCAGCCTCTGCTTCCCAAGGGCTGGGATCAGAGGTGTGTGCCACCAGACCCCAGGCGCCTGCACTGCTTTCTGAAATACGGTCTCACAGTTCATTTGATTTGCTGTTTGTCTAGCGTGTTGCGCAGACTGTCTTAACTCTTGGGCCCACGTGACCCTTCCCCTTCAGCTCCCGAATAGTCAGACTGTATGTGTGCACCCAGCCACATGTGAGCTGACATCATGGCTCAGGGCTGGAGAGATGGCCCAGAGGTTGAGAGCTCACACTGTTCTTCAGAGGACCTGGGGCGCCTGATACCTGTGCCCTCTTAGCATTCACATGCACATGGCCACACAAATACCCCTAATTAAAAATAATGAAGTTGCCAGGCACGGTGGCACACACCTTTGATCCCAGCACTTGGGAGGCAGAGGCAGGCAGATCTCTGTGAGTTCGAGGCCAGCCTGGTCTGCACAGTAAGTTTCAGGCCAGCCAGGGCCCTGCTACATAAAAAGACCCTGTTTCAAAAGAAAAAGAAAGAAATAGTGACGTTTAAAACCTTTTTTTTCTTTGGAAGGGTCTTAATGTGTATCCTTGGCTGTCTTCAAACTCCACATATAGACCAGACTGGCCTCAAATTCAAAGAGCCACCTACCTATACCTCCTGAGTGCGGGGTCAAAGGTGAGGACCACTGAACTAGCTGAGACTCACACTGGGATCCACAGACCTACAGTGTTGTTCACGCTTCAATGTGAGAAAGGTTTCTTTTCCTCCAGGCCTATAATCCCAGCACATAGGAGGTGGAGGCAGGAAAACCGGGAGTTCAAGGCCAGCCTAGACTACTAAGACCATGTCTTACAAAAGTAAACAATGCGTCATACATTTTACCTCCCTAAATCTCGAGATGGACAAGGCAGAGGACGTCTCTGGCCCTCACCTTCTCTTTCACCTCCCCCAGGCATGACACAGCATGGTGACACCACTTCTATGAGCTGGAGTCAGAGCCCAGGCCTACCGGGGGGCAAGCACTTTAACACATCTGGAAAGCGGCAATGAAGAAGGCAGGTATCTCAAAGAGCCAGGAAACAGAAAGTCATGCTAGGTTAAGAGAACTGGCTGCTCTCCCAGAGGTCCTGAGTTCAGCTCCCAGCAACCACACGGAGGCTCACAACCATCTGTAATGAGCTCTGGTGCCCCCTTCTGGCCTGCAGGTGCACATGCAGGCAACATTGTACGCATAATAAATCTTTGGGAAAAAAAAGTCATGCTGGTCCTTAGCACTCTGCCAGCACGCGGGTGTGTGTCCAGTGAGCGTTCACTTGCCTTTAGTATCTCCTGGTGATTTTCCGAGGCGTACAGCCGACCATCCCTCACGATGTCTTCCACCAGCTGCTCATAGTCCTCTGTAAAGGCAGCCAGGGGTGGGGGGTGAGGCAGGGAACTCTCCTGGCTCCCTCACGAGACCCAGCCACCTCTCCACCTCTCCTGCCCTCGCTCACCATCATAGGTCACATAGGGAATCTGGAAACCACGTGCACTGTTGGCCTCACTGGTCTTAAAGTTGATCCAGAGTTTCCTGGACCGGGCCGTGAAGGCGATGGGGCGCTCGTAGGTCTGGCAGGTCTCGTAAGTGGTGATGGAGGATGGTGAGGCTGGCGAGGCACACAGCAGGTCAGAGGGGCAGCGGGGCCCAGGCATTCTGACAGAGGTGCCCCCACCCCCAAACACAGCCCTGCACCCTTCCTCTACAAGACTGACAACTGCATGATCGCACAGCGTATTAAAACTGGCATTTACGATATCAGGACAGCAAAAGGGTCAGGGGCCGAGTTAGCACACTTAGCAGTACTGGCTTCCAGCCCCAGGACTGCTCTCCACCAACCCAGCCCCAGGGGCCCTGGCCTAGCCTCAGTCCCCCACGGCTTCTCTCCCTGGTTCCCCCGCCCTAGCTCTTCCTCTTTCCCAGGCAGACCCCGCTGCCCTTCTCTGGGCCAGCTGTGCAGTCACCCACAGTTCTTCCTCATGACCAGGACGTCGCCACACTCGTCCTCGGAGGGCAGGAAGATCTCGGGGACCACGATCAGGATCTTGCGCTTGGGTGGGGGGTTGATGTTCCAGACGCACTCCACGCCAGCTGGGTAGTTGCCGGGGTAGTTGGGAGACTCGATGTAGCCAGTGAACTCGCCCAGCTCCCCGCCACACTGCCGATCTGCACACCCCAGTGGGTAGAGCAAGGAGAGGTGGAGAGTCAGAGGGGACCACACGGAGGCTAGGCGTCCCCTGGCCAGCCCTGCCTTCTGCTCCCACCAACCCTTTTTCCCCATGCACGTGGCTCCAAGACCTCTCCCCACTTCCCACGGCCCGGCCCGCCACGCACTCTTGCACTGGGCCACACTGGTGGAGCCGTCAAAGTCGGTGCTGGTATCTCCTGGGCAGCGGGTGCAGAAGTTCTGACGGAAGTCGGGCTGGTAGGAGCCCACGGCACAGCGGATACAGCGATGGGTGCTGGTGTTGTAGTAGTGGCCCGGGGAGCACTGGACTGCAGGCCAGAGGGGAGGGGCGTGAGCTAAGACGGAGGGGAGCGGGCATCTGGGCCGTGGACGGGCACGACACATTGTCACGGAGAATCAGGAGGGCACGGTCCCCAAGTGTCTCCCAGGGTCCCTGCTTTTCCCAGCCGTAACTGAGGCCAAGGGAGAAGCTTTCCCGAGTGGCTGGCCACAGCACCCTGCCCTCTCTGCTGGCACTGGGCAGCTAAACAGCCCGGGAGGCAGGTCACAAGTTACCGGTATCCCCAGGTTTGGCCCAAGGGACAGCTCTGAGAACGAGGCTGGGTGCTTGCTTAGGCAGCTGAGGCTTCCCTTCTGGGGGAAGATGGTGGCATAGCATACTCAGGTCTGTGGGGGAGGGGGCGTTCTGGGGGGCAGCTGAGGTCAGGGAGACCCCTCGTGGAGTAAGAAGTCTGCTCACCTTTGGTGTCACAGTCCTGGAAGGAGACTGCGCCCTCATGCTTGGTAGTGAGGCCTCCACCACAAGGGAAGCACAGGGTCCGTCCTGCTTCGGGCTGATAGGTGCCCCGTGGGCATGGCTGGCAGGGCTTGAACCCATCTACTGAATGCTGGCCTGGTGGGCACTGACCTGCAGCGAAGCAAGGGCCCAACTCTGACGGGGTTGGTCCCGGGTCACCCAGCCCCAGGGAACAGAGGCACACAAACAGGACATCAGCTCGGAGAGGGGCCTGGAGCCTAGGCCTGCCCTCTGGGGAAGCCCGTGCCCGCCCCAGCCCAGTCTGTGTTGTCTGCTCCCCTGGCACCTGCACACGTGGTGACGTTGGTGGCTCCAAGAGGCCCGTGGGCATCACTCCCAGGGCAGAGGTCGCAGGAGAGCTGCCCTTCCCTCTCCTGGAAGGTGCCCGCTGGGCATGGCACACACTGCTCCGTCTGGCCGTGGTAATACGTTCCCTGCGGGCAGCTGACTGAGGGAGAGTCGGCCGCGCTAGCCACCCCCCTCTCCCACCACCCGGGCCTAAGGCTCCCTTTCCCACTCTTCCAGATAGGAGGAAAATCTTTCAGGGAACTAACAGAATCCTTAGAGAGGTGGGAAGGTCATGTCTGTGTGCAGGAGGGCTGCTGGCCCCGCCTGGCGTCCCGGTCCTGCCTGGGACCAGGGAGAGGACTGTGGGTCTGTGCTACCTCACTCCTTGAGAACTGTACCTGCCCTCCTCTGAGCCATGGCTAAGTTGGGCCTTCCCCGCTCCCCAGCCGCAAACCCTTGCTTCCCAGCAAGCTCCCTTACCACACTTGGTGCCTGCTCGGTGCTGCCCGGGCCGGCAGACCTCCGCTGGCTCTGTTCGGTCCCCAGCTAGCAGGCCCGGCTTGTGGGCCAGCTCATAGTCGAGGCCCGCTAGACGCAGCAGGAATCGGTCCTGGTTGATGGACTTTCTGAGCATCTTCAGGGTCCCCTTCAGTCTTCGTTCCATCCGCTGCCGGAGGCAGGGCAGCCCACAGCCAGCTGGTGACGGGTGGACGGATGAGTCAGAGAGTGAGGGAGAAGGTGATCCGAGCAGAAAGCAGGGAAGCGATGGCAGGAGAAGGGGCACGCATGACAGGGGCCGTCCTCCTGGAGTTCGAGGACAGGCCCAGAGTCCAGGTGCCCTCCCCCACCCCTGCTCGTCTCTTTCGGACCCAGGCTGTGTGCTCTCCTCTTTGGCCCTCCACCCAGAAGTGTCCCTAGGCCCACCTGTCGTTTCTTCAGCTCTGACCTCAGCTTCTAACTCCAGGGTGAGCCGGGTAACCTCCTTGCCTGGAGGGGTCCGGGCCCGTCGGCCCTTGCCCTTTCGAGAGGAGTCACACTTGAGGTGGATGAAGGTGACCTGGCAGTCAGAGCAGGGGCCACCACCTGGAAACAGAGGCCTTGTCAACCTCAAACGCAGGGCTCCCGCTGTGGACGGGGTGTCCTCCCTCCTGCCTGTCCTTTCTCTGCCCACCCAGACAGCCCTGGGCGACCTCCTGAGCCTTTGCCTGCAACAGCTTCCCCCTTTTCTGTCCAAAGTGCAGGCTATGGGGGACTGGCTGGACAGGGGCTGAGGGCGGGCAGAGCCTGTCGGAGCCCGCGGGAGTGAGGTCCAGACCTGGCCCTGGGGTTCTGCCGGCTTCCTCCGCTTTGCCTTTGTTTCGCAGGTGCAGGCGACATTTGGCGTCCTTGACCTTGAAGGAGGCCCTCTGCTTGACCGGCAGCACTGCAGCCTCTAGAGAGGTGAGCGCAGCTCAGCACAGCTGGGGGGAGGAAGCTGAGGGGGCGGGGGCTGAAGGGTGTCAAAGCTGAGGAGTGAGGAAGGTGAAAAACAAGGTAGGCCAGGATCTAGGTGGGAGAGCCGGGAGAATTACAAAGTAACACCTGAGGTACAGGAAGAAGGGGCGGGAGGAGAACTGGCTCTGTCTGTGGCATGGAGGAGGGCCTTCCGGCCAGGGCTCACCATGGCAAGAGCTGGAGGTGGTGGCGTTTCCAGGGTGGCTGCCTCGTGCTGCGGCAGCTTTGGGGCTGGGGGTACCGCAGCTCACCGTGAAGCCATTCTCCGACTCTGAGGGAAGGGGCCTATCAGGGCTCTGACCCACCTCCCGACCCCCAGTGGCTGGAGAATCCCAGGGGCAAGAGGAGCCACTGAAGAGCCAGTCTCTCCTCCCTTCTGCCCGCCTCCCACATACCTGGCAGAAACCGGGCCCGAGAGGGGCAGGTCAGGGCACACGTGTCCTTCTTGCCAGACCGACTGCAGCTGAGCATGGCTTTCGAGGCCCCTGGGCTGCTGTGACATTTCACCGGCTCTAGGAAGGGGAGCAAGGCCTGAGGCTACGGACCGGGCCGGGCCCACCTTCTCCCCCAGACAGCTAACGCGGACAAAGAGATCACCTACGTGCAGAAGTGTGTGCCCAAGGAGACAGAGCGCATCTTAAACCAGAGACGTCAGGTCTGACCCGTGGGCTGCATGGCCCACTCTCCACACCTTCCCACCAGATCCCAACCTTGCCCTGAAGCGGCACTGCCAGGCCCGTCCAGCAGAGGGCGCCACACACCTGTGCAATCCTTTCCATTCCAGTGAAGGCGGCCCTGGCCTGCCGGGCAGGTACACTGATAGCTGCCGGGGGTGTTGACACAGCCGAAGCGGCAGCCTCCCTTGTTGATGCTGCACTCGTCCACGTCTGTGGGGGGAGGAGGAGGACAGTGGCAGTGGTGGTGGAGGCGTGCGAGCCAGGGCCTGGGGCTGTGTGTGAGGACCTCTGCTAAGTGTCCAGATACACCGCCTGAGTACCTTACAGAGAGCGACGGTGTGGTCACAGGTCTGCCAGGTGCCTCACAAATACTCAGGAGGCAGAGTCTGCGAGGGGAGGGGGGCTTGCCTCCTGCGGTCTCTGCCCTCGGGAAGCGAAGGCAGGAGGGTCAGGAGTTCAAGGCTGAACTCCGGCCACGCAGCGTGTTCGCAGCCAGCCTGGGCTCCATGAAAGCCTCAAGCAAACATCTGGCTGGCAGGGTGCCCTTCCCTGGTCGCCCTGGCCTTCAGAAGCTGCCCTTTATTTTATCGCGTTAGTGTAGACCCGACACACTCACCCGAGCACTTCCCTTAGCACAAGCCAGCACAGGACGTCAGCACAGGGAGGGTGAAGAGGTGAGGGCCTGGGGGGGCAGCTGGGTGGGAGCTTGCTGGCTTACCCCCACAGTGAGTGACGCCGTACAGCAGGTAGCCTCGATGGCACAGACACTGGAAGCTTCCGGGCGTGTTGACGCACATGTGGTCGCAGGTCCGATCGAAGGAGCACTCGTCTATATCTGGAAGGGCGAGGAGTTGAACCACCGAGTCTGTGTTGGGGCACCTGACTCAAGACCCCCGAGTAACTCCAGGCCTATGACTGAGCAGCGCCAACTCCCTCTGTGCCCTTGGTCTGGAGTTTCGGGGTTTGGGGTTTTCTGTTTGTTTTCGAGACAGTTTCTCTGTGTAGCCCTGGCCACCCTGGAACGCACTGTGTAGACCAGGCTGGCCTCGAACTCACAGAGATCTAACTCTGCCTTCCAAGTGCTGGGATTTAAAGACATGCGCCATCATAGCCCAACATGACAAAAGTCAGGGTCTGGAACCTGTGGGCCATGACCTAGCTCTGCAGCAGGCCGCGTTTGGAAAAACCTGGATTGTGGCAAAAACTCCCTGACCCCTTGCCGAGCTGTGTGCTTCAGCACAAAGCTGGCCTGCCAGGAGGGCCCCACTGCCCGCATGCAGCACGCCACTGCTGTGGGAGGCTCCTTCGCCTCCATCTCCCAGGGGGCCTGGGCTCTGGCCTCCCTGCTGCTCTCGTGCCTAGGAACCTGCTCCCTGGGCCTGGCCCACTCACCCTGGCAGCTGCCCCCCACATCCCTACCCCTCCTGGGCCTGGCCCGCTCACCCTGGCAGCTCCTTTCGTTGATGAGGAGCTTGTAGCCTTTCCTGCAGCTGCACTCAAAGCTGCCCACCGTGTTTCGGCAGATGTGGTCGCAGCCCCCGTTGTTTAAGCGGCACTCATCTATGTCTGGGAGGAGGACGGAACGAAGGACAACGCTGAAGGCCCAGAGCAAACACGGAGACACGATCTCTTCCTCACAGACACAAGGCGGGCCCTGGCCTGTCCCTTTTAACTGGGCCATCACCCTCTGTCTCCATGTCTTTCCTGTTTAGGGTGTCTGGCCGTTAGTAACACCTACTCTCCTGAGGCGGAGGCCAGGAACGGCCTAGGCCAGCGGGGACCAACTGTCTGGAGTTAGGGGAGCAGGGGAGCACTAAGCCCACATCCCTCACTCCCCAGCTGACAGGCATCCATTCCCAAGACTGTGGGAGGGCTCTTCTCTCAAGTCCCTGACTCCCGGGCTGTCAGGAAGGCTGGGTCGGGAGTGTGAGCTGGGAGCCTAGAGGAACCTGCTGTGAAGGGTCAGCCTTCAGGGAAGAGGAGCTGGCCTGAGGAGGACAGAGAGGACTTCCAAGAGAGGCAGAAGGGCTGAGAAGATACTGGGGACGAGGGGCCCAGCCAGGAGACCGGACTGGAGCAGTCTGGAGAGACTCAGCCTGGCAGTGGTTGGGGCTAGTGGGTGAGCAGCTTCCTTCCTGAGGTCAAGTTCCTCAAGCTGGTGGCAGACGGGTCCCAGGCCACTCAGCATGGCTGGAGGGGAGGGGCTGGGCCTTCACTCTTAGCCTACCTGTCAACAGTCCTTCCCAGCAGGAAACCTCTCAGCTGTGGCTGCCCCAGCCCTCCCCCTCCTGCAGCCTCGGGGCCAAAAGACACAGAAAAAAGGAGCCCCGCATGTCCTCCTTCCCGTCCCGTCCCCGCTCCTCATGACCAGAGCACAGAGACAGGAGTCCTTGTCTTCAAAATGGCCGCCCTCCCCTCCGCTTTCCCATCTTCCCCAGATCCCAGCTGCCTGGGAGGAGGGGAGGCAGAATGGCTGCTGAGACGGTCCCTCAGCTGCACCAGGAGGCCCCCCAGGAGCCAGGTATAGCGGCGGCGGAAGCGGGGACACCACAGTGTGGCTGGCCAGGCCCTGCTGTGGCCGCTTCTGAGTCCCACCAGTACAGCCTTTCTAAGGCAGACATCACCCCAGAGCCACGGGGAGGGTCTGACCCGCAGGGTCAGGCTCGGCATCTGTTCAGGGTTGGGCCCTATAGGAGCGAGGGCCAGGCCAGGAGGCACCAAAGCGCTAGCTGGGCTTCCAGTGGCCCTCGAGCTGAGGGGGAGAGGCCCCTGAGCTTTGTCCTGGGTCCTCTGCCCCCCCCTTCCCCCCCCCCCGCCTCGCGCCTGAGGCCGGGGCCTCTGTGTTCCTGTTCTCTCAGGGCTCACCTTTGCAGGTCTTCCTGTCTGGCTGCAGCATGAAGCCCACAGGGCAGCTGCAGTGCACACCGGTCACCGCGTCGTGGCACTTACTGTCGCAGCCTCCGTTGTTGACGGCGCAGGTCTCTGTTGAAGGAGGCGTGGGTGGCCATGGGGTTACTGGCCTAGCAGAATGCCAGGCCCAGGTAGCAGGGGCCACCTCACAGGGGTTGCATTAAAGCGGAAGCCCCAGCCTCCGGCCTCCCCTTCCGCCCAGCGCCCACCCCTCACAAACGCAGGAAGCTCTCCGCGGCCCTGCCCCCTACTTGATTGAAACAAGGTGGACAGCAGTGAGGCAGGTACAAGCCAGAGCTGTCAGGCAGGAATGCGCTGAGGGGGCAGGGGGCAGGGAGGCAGGGGAGATGAAAGCTGAAAGGGTTCTGCCTGCCAGGGAGCAGAAGGGGCAGACCAGTTTCTTCCCATCTTGGGGGTGGGGTAGGGGGGGCTCGTGGTGGACAGGTTTGGTGGGAAGAGTGTCTCTAGACACTGAGGGCCGCCCTTCCTTTCATCCCCCTCTGACATTGCAGGCCAATGACACTCTGCCAAGCTGGGTCACCCACCTTTAACTCCTCCCGAAACCCTCGTGTCTACCTGGAAATAAGCTGGCTGGCTCTCTTATTTTGCTGATGAGATAATGTGTGGTGGGGGTGGGGGTGTCGCTAAAGGAGAGGAAGAATCCAGAGAGGGAACGTGGAAGAACATTGAAAGCTCAGAGACTTGCTCAGCTAAGACTCCTGTCAGCTCAGTTGGTGGCTGAGAGGCCAGAGCAGGAGGAAAACAGATCTAGGCAGCTGCTTTGCAGAGTGAGTCCAAGGGAAACCATCAGCCAAGAGAGCAAGAGCCTGGCATGGGGACCTGCAGTGCTGTGGTCCATCCTGGCACCCAGCATCCTCCCACGAGCACCCCAAGGCCTCCGTGAGGAGGGGCAGGAGAGAAGAGCTGTTCTCAGAAGCAGGCCGTCACGCCCAACCTTGTCACCAAGAGGACAGTGTGCCAGGGCTCCAAAAGAAGCCCACTGCTGGGAGTCCCTGGCATGTCCTGGTCTCATTGTGGTCTTTCTGAGGTCCTCCAGACCAGGGGGAGCTCAAGGTTCCTAGTGCTCTCCCCCCAAAAAAGTGCTCTAAGCATGGAAGGGGGCTGCCAAGGCCTGGATCAGCACGGACTCCAGTGGGGGTGGGGCCATGCCAAGATCCTCTCTGTGTGTAGATTCCCTGAAGGACCCAGGATGGGCATGGTGTCCACCCCAGGCTGGACCGGGAGGCTGGGCAGAGCTGCCCGCCTCTGCAGGACAGTTGCTCAGAGCAGGGAAGGTGGCAGGAGGGCCAAGCTTGCCCTGTCCTTTGTGCGAGGTACTGATCACATGCTCCGTGCTGTTTTGATCATCACACCTGAGAGAGGACTATCACACACACACACACATACACACACACACACACACACCTCCCCCTGCAGAAGAGTGGCCTGAGGATCAGAGAAGATGGGCCTCACTTGAGACTGGCTGGTGAGAACACGGCACATGGCAGAGCCAGAACCCAGAGACTCCGGTCTACTGAACCCAGTGTCAGGGCAAGATCGGCAGTCGATGTTAGGTAGGAACCCAAGAAGGATGACCCACAGAGGGGATGCCATCCAACTTTGACGCCCCTTATCTCGGTGGGTACCGCGGCACTGGCTGAGATTTTAGCTACAGTGACAGAGAAGTGCAGACGGCTGGGCAGGGACTGGGGTGGTGAAAGGGGGTGTAGGAGGAAGCAGAAGAGGAAGAGGAGTGACAGGAACCAGGGAGATGACCCAGGTTCCAAGGCCCGCTGTTAGGGTCTCCTGCCACCTGCTGGGTCCACAGCCCCCCTGCCAGGGGATTCCTGCTGGGCATGCAGTTAGTGGGAGCCCCAGCGGGTTAGCCCTCCCCAGCAAGCCGGCGAGTGCGAGTGGGGAGCGGACATATTTACCATTAGAAACGGCCTGAGTGGGCATGTGCTGCTCTGGCCGTCTCTCCCCTGTTTGACATCGTAAAAAAGCCGTTTAGATTCCAGGCAGGTCCCACTGCAGCCCGCTGGGCCCCAGGACCCCCCTCACACCCTCCACCCTGAGGGTCCAAACCACTAGCCCCGTATGGTGACTCCTGGGACCCCAAATTAGCCTCATCCCTCAGTTTTGTCCCGCCTGGGCCCCTCAAAGACACCAGGCTCCCAACCGAGATTCTGAGTCTCAGGGCAGCTGTGAGTCCAGCCTCACACGGTATGTGAGAGGCAGGCCTGGCGTGAGATGTCAGGGCTCGCGTTTAGCCACCTCTCAAGTCCCTTGCTTTAGCCACATTCTCCCCACTCAGTCTGAGTGTCCTGTGACCCTCGAGACATTTCCTCCTGCCAAGGCTGGCAAGAAAAATGGGTTACCAGGCAAGCAGGCTGGTTTCCCTCGGGGCAAAGGGAGCAGGCTGGGGAGGAAGCAGCCTCGTTTGCTCTGTTCTGTCTTGCTGGCTGCTGCCAGAGGGCAGAGTGGGTCTTGGGTTAGAGAGGTAGTCAAGCTTGATACAGGCATTTCCAAAACGCAGCCATGTTTGAGAACATCTGAACAGAAAGCCGGTGGGAACCCTGCCTCCTCCCTGTGGGGGCTCCTGTCCTGCCTCATGCGTCTTCTCTCTAGGAACCACATGCAGCTTCTTCTGAAGGAATCGGGGTGGGGGGGTGCGTCCAAGGGGAGGCGGGAGGTTTGTGAAGCAGAAGAACTAGCCCTGTCAGGAGAATATGAAAGTGTCTGGAAAGACCCAGTGAGAGAAGGCAGCATGAAGACTGGAACCCATTTCAGGGTCTTTGAAGAGCCAGAGAGAGCAGAGCAGGAGGGCCTAGGGCACGGGAGCACTTTTGAGCCATGTGTTACCTGGAGCAGGTGCTGGGGGGCCTGTGTGAGCCAACCTGTTCCCCTGTCCTGTGGCTGCAGTGACGAGCCCGGGGTGCAAGGGACAGAGCACTCCTCACCCTGAACCTGCCTTGGACACACAGGCCTCCACAGAGGTGCTGTGCTCACATTTCCTTCCCCAGCCTGCCATGGCTCACCAGACAGGCACCCTCCGCAGAGGCCAGCAGTGCCCACAGAGCAAGCACACCTACGAGACCCTGCCTCGCGCCTGGCCAAAGCCCTTCCTTTTGTTTCCCACGCCTCTAAGGAGACACACTGTCAGCCACCCAGTGCTGAAGCCGTAGCAGCATAAGGCATTCAAAGTTAGCTTTAAGGAATTAGCTCACTCAGGTTATACCCCGAGGCCCCAGGCCAGGCCTAGGAACTCAGGGGAAGGGCTTCAGGCTGGGAGGGACGGGAGGCTGCAGCAGGTGAATGGTGGGAAGCCAAGGGCGCAGGGGAGGTCAGCACCACTGGATGCCAGGTGGGCGGCAGGCCTGGGCCAGCAGGTGAGGGGCAGGAAGGGGTTTGCAGGGGTGAGAGGAAGGGCTGCCTGGAGCCACGCTGCCTGTGCAGCCCAAGGCCAACTGCTCTAGGGAAAGTTCCACGTCCTGACGTCAGTTCCACAGCGGGGGACACTGGGCTGTGGCAGTCCCCACCTCACCACTCTTGTCAATTGGGACCTGGCTCAGCCGCGCAGCTGACCTCTCCAGAGTCCCTCAAGTTATCCCCACAGCCCTGGGTGACCAGCACCTCTGCTAAGGGCTCCTAGTTTGGCAGCGCTTCATCGTGGGAGGAAGGGGAGAGGGGAGACTCCTGGGGAGGGCAGATGGCCAAGCGTGCCCCCTAGTCTCTCAGAGCCGTCCTTCCCTGGACCCGCCATCACACGGGTCTCCACTCCCTCGCCAGTTACTCCACCGGGCAGCCAGAGCCCCTGCGGTCTCCCCTTCCCCGCAGTCCCCAGCCCCCCCCCCGGCCCTGTCGAGAGCGGCAAGAGTTGTTCCCGGGCTTCACCCACCGATGCATGTCTTTCCGTCGGTGTGGAGCACAAACTTGACATGGCAGCCACAGCGGGGGCCCTGCTCCGTGTCGTCGCACGTGTGCTGGCAACCACCATTGCCATAGTTGCAGGTCACTGCATGGGGGGGGGGGGGCGTCAGCCTGCCTCTCCCTCTTGCTGCAGGTCTACAAGGCTGGAGAGCCACCCTCTTTCCTCTCTGTGTCCCGCCCCACCCCACCCCTCCATGCCCCCAGCCCTCTCTCCTCCCATCCCTGCCCTTCGGCTGCTGAGGCCCGCACACCCTCCCGGGCCCCTCTCCCTGCCCTCATAGGTCTCACATTTGCAGTCCCGTTGATTCCTGGTGAGCTCGAAGCCGGGCCGGCATTCGCAGGCAATGCCCCCCTTGGGCGTCTCCCGGCAAATGTGCGCACAGCCGTGGTTCTTGTTCATGCAGTTCATGCCTTCTAAAAAGGGAGGGGGGGGGGCAATGTGTGAGCTGCAATCGGAGGCCTCAATGGGGAGGGACCGGCTGGGGCTAAGGACGATGAGCCTGCTAGCAGAGGAGGCTCTGGCTTCAGAAAGGACCCAGAGAAATCTAAAGCAGGGTCTCTTTGCTCGAACAGCTTACATGAGACTAGACGCCGGAAGATGATTGACAGCAGCCAGACTGACAATTTAGAAGGTACTATGTCGCATGACACTTGTGTTTTTAGAGACGGGGTTTTTCTGCATAGCCCTGGCTGTCCTGGAACTCGCTCTGTAGACCAGGCTGGCCCTGAGCTCAGATATCCGCTGCCTCTGCCTCCCGAGTACAAGGATCAAAGGTGTGTGCCATCACGCCCAGCTGGGCCACAAATTTTATTATGCCCCTATCACAGGCATGATAGGGACACGTAGGCAAATTAGACATCGCTACTGTCCTCAGGATGTCACAGTCCAGGGAGGGAACCAGGCCGCACACCCCAACGCCCCTGCCTGACCTTCCCAATCCAGGCCACGGAAGGGGACGTTGGCCAGGCTGCACCAGCAACATAGCAGCTTACAGACAAATGCTCACAAACAAGAATGCAGGTCACCCACGCTGCTGGACCACAGAGCGCCCCGAAGCAGCCTCAACTCCACACGGACCAGACCCAGATTTATTCCCGAGATTTTCCTCTAATACAGTGTGTCTATGCGTGAAGCCCTTAGGCTGTGACTGAGTTCAGGGAGAGAGGGGAATGTAGAGTGTGGGCTGCGGAGTGCTGAGGGAGACTGGGAAAAGCCTGTCCGGCACGGGGCGGGCGGGGGCCCCGGGCTGTGGGCTGACCTTCTGGCCGCTGGATACAGGTGTGCTGATTGTCGCTGAGGAAGAAGCCTTCTCGGCAGTGGCACTCGTAGCTGCCCATCATGTTGACACAGCTCTGCTGGCAGCCGCCGTTGCCTTCAGCACATTCGTCTACATCTGTGCGACACAGGTTGATTGGTGGTCTCTGGTGCCGCCAGAGACCGAGGGCAGACTTAAGACCCCCCCCCGCCACCCGACCCAAAAGCCCACCCTTAGCAGGCAGTCCCCAACCCTTGTCAGCTAAAGCCTCGGTGTGTGAGAGGCGCGTAGGGCAGAGGTCGGGCAGGGTAGGAAACGTCCAAATCTGGCCAGCCTAGGTGAGGAATGCACGCCTCCCCCACGCCGTAGAGGTTGGGTTTGGCCCCTCAAATCTGGAGAGGGGGCTCAGCCGTTATGAGCCCTGGCTGCTCTTCCAGAGGACCCGAGATCTATTCCTAGTGCCCAGGTGGCAGCTGGCTGCCTGAAACTCCAGTTCCAAGGAAGCCAGAGTCCTCTCCTGGCCTCCACAGGCACCGAAGGCGTGTGGTATGCAGACACACAGGCAGGCAAATGCCTACACACAGAAACCCAAATATAAACGCTGGGCCTAAGCACAGAGGTCAGGAGAGAAGCCAGCATGAGAGGAATAACGGCGAAGACAAGGAAGGATGCCAGTTACCCTGGCCAGTAATGGGGAGTTAGAGGCGATGGTCTGCTGAGTGGCCAGGAGGCAGGGAACCTGGACAAGGCTCTTTCCTCAGACAGCAGCACGGCCGTGGTGCTGAAGATGGAGGGACTGGCTGCCCAGCCACAAGGCCTCGTGGGCGAGGACCATTTCAGCTCTCCTCCCCTCCCCCTGGCCTGGGCTCCTTGCCTAGTCCCTAGCTTTTCTATTTTGGCTTAACAAAAACACAGCATGGCAGCGTAGTATGGAAGGGTGGGGAAAGTGGCCAGGCCACACCCTGGATGGTAGTGGGGGACAACAGGGTGCCCCCAGGTCACCACCCCTAGAGCCAAGCTCACTCTGATGGTCTTCACCTTCCGTATCCTGACTCCATCTCTGCCCTTTCATCCTCCACTTCTCCCTGGGGAAACTGAGGCCCACAAAGTAGAGTTTTCTCAAAGCTTCCCTAAGAGTTTAAGGGATGCTGAGGCTTTGAGCCCTCACCTTGAGCAGGTGTTGGTAACTCTGACCCTCAGAGTACCTGCTTTGGCTTGTCTCTGTGGTTAGTTTTTGGTGATAACTGGGGCCCAGTTAGAGGCCCAGTGGAGGCCAGAGCAATAAGAGCTGATATGCACTGTCCCGTGAGCACCCCTGTCCTCTACCAAGCCATTCATACCTTGTCCCTAAAGAGTCCCTTGGGTGACAGGGCAGAGAAAAGGTGATGGTCACCCACAGCTCTGCAGTCAGAGGGCTCCCAGGCCATGATGCATCTGACCTGGCCATCACTGCTCTTTCCTTCACTCAGTCTCTCTTCTACCAGCAGAGAGAGAGGACCCCAGGGTTCAAATCTCAAATCTTCAGCCTCTCTATGTAGAGGAACACTCACTCAGTCCAAGTAACTCCCCGTGACAGACCAAAGCCCAGTTCAGCGGCCCAGGGGTCCTACCCGGAACAGAGCTCCCGGGACGGGGGAGATGGGGCCGGGCTGAGGCTTGGAGGCCAAGAGGGCGAGACCAAAGACAGGAAGGACGGCAAGGAGCCGAAGTGCCCAGAGCCGGAGGACCAACATCAGCTACATAAGCCTCAGCGATCCTGCCCACTCGGCGCTCGCTCCGGACTAGGGCTGCACAGGGCTGTTTACACATATGCCTGAGATGCGATGAAGCGCACACACACGCACACACACACACAAACACACACACACACCAGCAGCAGCCTCAGATAAAGGTACACACACACACACACACACACACACACACACACACACACACACACACGACATGGTTTCTCTGTGTAGTCCTGACTATCCTGGTCTCACTTTGTAGATCAGGCTGGCCTCGATCTCTCAGGGATCCTGCCTCTGCCCGGGCTTAAAGGCATGCGCCGTCACACCCACCTGTCTGACATTCCCAGAGGCTAGCTCCCTCGCTCAAGGCCCCGCAGGTTCTTAGTGTTGGAACCAGGATGTGTGCACAGCAAAGTCATCCTCCCCAGGCAGGAAGCGAACCCCTCACGCCTGGCCTTCTCCTGGGGGCGTTTCTAGCAGTGCCCCTCTCATGCTCTTCAGCCATGGCAGGGCTGGCTCACCGCCCCCAGCCAGCTGCCCTCGCCGGCCAGCCCTCCCTTGCTCACCCAGGCAGTTGTGCCCATCGTGTGCCAGATGGAATCCGTCATAGCAGGTACACCGGTAGTTGCCAGGAATGTTGACACAGTCGTGTACGCAGCCGGCGTTGTCCTCCCGCTCACACTCATCCACGTCTGTGCACAGAAAGAAAGCGCGCTGCAGGGTGTTGAAGGTCACAGGCAAACGGCTATGCCGTTCCACTTCTATATTTGTAATCATGCCATTTCACACAGAGGACTTGAACATTCTTTAAGTGTGGTATCGCTGCGGGGGGAGGGGGGTTGCCATCCTTGAACCAACACCCCTCAGGTCCCCAGGGGGCAACTGTGGCTCTCAGTGCATCATGTCAACAGGAAGTAACGTGTACTTTGTCCACTGAAGCCTCACCGGCAGTCAGGGCCACACCCTGAGAACAGAATGCCTAGGCTACTTTCTTCTAGCAAAAGATAGGCTTGTGTGTGGGTGAACCCCACTGGGGAGCACTGTCCTTTGAGCATAATCCAGAGGGTGCCAGTAGAGGCCCCGCCTCGGGGATCTCCAGGCCTTAGTTCTGTGACTGCGGGTGCCCACCCCAGACACCTAGGTGGCTATGAGGCTGTGGAACGTCCCCACCCGCCCCATCTCCTGGTCAACGTTCTGGGAAGGTGCGGCTGTCCTCCTCGGCCTGAAGAGGCTGCGGGCCTTGGGAACTGCGGAGCGGCCCCTGGGGGAACTACGTGGGCTCCCCCTTTCCCGTGGGCTCCTCTGGGTCACCCCCTCCCCACCCCCAGCCTCACCTTTGCAGTGTTTGCCATCCCCTGTGTAGCCGGACTTGCAGATGCATTTGTATGACCTCGGAGTGTTCTGGCAGATGGCGTCGATGTGGCAATGGTCGGTGCCTTCCACACATTCATCCACGTCTGCCAGGGGCAGAGGAGGACCCGTGAGAACAGAACCTCAAGCGAGTGAGTTTTGGAGGTGTGCACCCAAAAGGCAGAGTCCCCTCCGCACGACCGAGCCAGTGCGCATGTGAGGCCCCCCACGTTCCTCTCAACATTTCAGGAACCCGGGTGAACCCTTACTGCCTCACAGAGACTCAAAGCACAGTGGCCACTCCACTGCTCCCTGGAACACCTCTCTTCGGTCTGCATCGCACTGTTGATGCGTCAGACACAGTCAGCCCAGTGTGAGCTAATCTGTCTTAGCAGCAGACTTAGTGGGAGGGGGAAAAGACAGGCACGGGGTCACTGGCCTTCTGAAAGGTGGCCAGGTCCAGTTGTCACTGGTTACATATATATGTATATGTTCAGACAGGGACACAGGTAGTCCAGGCTGGCCTAGAATTCATTACATAGCTGAGGGTGGCCTCTGGTGCCTGATCCTTCTGCCTCCATCCCCCAAATCCTGGGGCTACCGGTACGGACCACCCTGCCCAGCTGCTCCCTAGTAATTATGGAAGAAAAGGAGGTAGGCCTTATGTGAGATCCTCATCGACCTCACAGTCCACTGTAGAACGGAGCTGTCCTGCCCAGGACGGCAGTGCATGCCTGTGACCCCTGCGCTTAGGTACAGCGGTGCACGCCTTCGACACCCCTCCCCCCTGCGTTCAGGCACAGCGGTGGACACCTGTGACACTTGGGGACCGAGGCAGAAGGATCTGGAGTTCTAGGTTAGACAGTGAGACCTTGTCTCAGAAACCCAGACCAGACGTCAAACCGGCTCCTGCTTGTTCACCAAGGGACCAAGAAGCCATACAGGAACCAGAGTCCCATCTGGGAAGAGTTTCCTTGGCCCTGAGCTACCAACGGAAGGCCCAGGAGCTGGCAGGTGCTGGCCCAGCAATCTGAAGCATGGCAGTTCTCTGAGCTATCCCACCGACCAGGCAGCACCCCTCTTCTCCCTCCACCCTCCGGCTCTGGATCCTTCCCTTCCAACACTAAGTACTCTCTCTAACAGGCAAGACTGACAGCCACACTAAGGGAAGAGACTCCCCGAGAACGGCAAAGGGAGAGGGAGGACCTCAGGCCAAGTGTGGTGATGTACCCCTTGCAGAGGCTGCACGGAGAAACTCTGTCTCGGAAAACCAAAAATAAGAAAAGAGAGAAAAGGAAAGGACCCCAGGAAGCCGGGGACCATGACGGCACCCGTAATGAAGTGATGGAGAGAAGGAGGTCTCAGCAGCAGAGGGGTTTCCTATGGCAGTCCTTACATTCAGCATCACACAGGCAATCTAGCACAGCCAGGACAGACGCACGGCCGCAAGCAGAAAGTGGGAGGTAGGCGCCGCGAGGCATTTGGGGTGAGCCTCAACCCAGGCTGCAAAGCAGAGCCAACGGCCCTAAAAATGCCCAATGCCCCAGGGACTGCAGTCAGCACATCTGGCCTGGACCTCGGCAGTGGGTACTTTTCTAAAGCTTCCAGCTGATTCTAAGGAGCAGCTAGGGTTGAGCACCTTGTCACAGTCTGAGGAGGAAGAGGCCATGTGTCCCTATGAGTCAGAAAAATGGAGTATGAACAGAAGTCTGCCAGTAAAAGAGCGGGGACTGGGAGCCAGGGGGCTGGGACTTGTGGGGCGAGAAGCAGGTTTCATTATAATGCAGGTTCTCAGGCCTCCTCGTCAACCCAGTGACTCCGGCTCCTTAAAGCGCATCACGTGTGTTTTAACTGAGCAGAGGCGCACGCTGTCCACTGGCAATTTCTGTAGTCTGCAGATACTCGGAAGCCAGGGCTGGAAGCAGCCGTCCGTCCCCTCTCCAGACACTCCCAGGAGGGAGCAGGGCTGGAGTGCCCCCAGGGCTGAGAACCCAAATGGGCACAGCTCACACACCCCACCTCGGATCTTTTGGCCCTGGTGAGCTCTCTCGACCCTCAGCTGCTCTACCTGCCAGAGAGGCAGAAGTCAAGTTTGTAAGCCAAGCGAGAGTGCCCTTGTGGGTGGCGAGAGGCTGAGGGAAAAGTAGTTTGTCCAACTGATGGAGTGGGTACAGAAGCAGGAACTGTCCCCTCTTAGGACATCAACAGTGGAGACATCCCAGGCTGAGACCCAGCCGCCACTTCTCGGCAGAGGCTCTTTTCACGTTTCCTTTTAGAAGACACGCTTTTACTGCGTCCCACAGGCTCACCTCCAACCCGCAACCCCCTGCTCCAGCCTCCCTAGGGTCGGGATGGCAGGTGTGTGCCACCACGCTCGGCTTCTTCCTCACTTTCGGTCCTCAGAGACCCCGTGCAATGGCGTCACAGCGGCGGCGGCTCCTCAGAAGCGGCTGTGAGCCGCTGCCTGGATTGATTTGTGAAGTCCCTGATGAAGCATTCGGGTGACAGGTGACGGGTGACAGGAGGCCTCCCGGGCCAGAAGCTTAAGATGTAGGAAGCTTGAGGGTTGGCCAATGGGGATTCAGATCTGTCCTCTGTGGCAGTAGCCATGAACCATGTGTGGCCTTTCTCCTTTCATTTCAAAGACAGCCCTCCGGTCCCCCTAGCCAGAGGCCAGATGTTCGTGGTGGGCTGTGCAATATCAAACACCACAAAGCTCGGGGCCTCAGGACGGCGGAGCTCTAGGGTTCTGAGTAAGAAATACTTCTGGGTCTGACCCGGAAACATGGCGGCTCCTCTAAAGGTCCCTCTCTGCAACCATCTCAGCGGCCGGCGCCTGTCTCCGTCTTCAGGGACTTGGCTCCTAGTGCATCAGGCTCTAGCTCTGCCTCCCCTCGAGGGCTTCCCCAGACTAAAGCAGCGGTGAGGCCGACCACAGCAGGAGGGGTGCCCACCAGCCGCCTCAGGCTCCCCCCTCTCTACACACTCTGCTCTGGGACACTTCCCGTCCGAGCCTGCTCCTACCCCCTCAGGGCCAGCTAACCGGTCCACGAAACCCCCCATGTCCCTTCTCCCTCTTCAGCCCGGCTCAGAACTGTCTGCCCTGTTCCCGGTGAGCCCTGGGCCCAGGGGGACTCAACTCGCCCTGCTCTGTGGTTCCGGCTGAGCCGCTTGGCTGACGCCCTGGAGCTGTGTCAGGCAGCAAGTCCCACTTCTCAAGTTGGCCGGGCGCTTGCTGAAGAAGGGACCTTCCAACCGTGTGACCGGAATCTTCTGAAGCAACTGGCCTGAGGCACGGAGCAGGCACAGGGCCCCAAATCGTACCCAGCCCTTCCTCCTTTGCCACTTCTCCAAAGCTCCCTGTCAGCCCACCTGCCAGCCCAGGATGGGTCCTTGCAGGGACCCCCGTGGCACACACGGGCAACCTCAGTGTAGCCCACCCTCTTAGGGCACAGCTGTTTTCCCCCTGCCAGCCAAGGGATGCTCTCCGGCATAGGCTGCTTCACACTGGTGGTGGTTCTTGGCTCAGGCTGCGCCCCAGAACCAGGGGACCTCCGGAGAGCCATGGGTGTCTAGACCCGCCAAATCAGAACCTCCAGGGCAAGCCTGGGGAGATCTTTCTTTCCAGCTCATGTAAATAAACCATCTGCCTGAGCTGGGAGCCGCGATGGAGACAGCAACATGACGCACTAGTCCTAGGGCAGGCCCGCTCGAGGCTTTAGACTGACTGATGCTAGAGCAGTCCTAGTGCAGGCTCAGTCTGCAAGGTCTCCAGCCTCCCAACACCTCTGCTCCCTCCCCTAGCCACATACCCTCACAGCGAAGACTCTCTTGGATACTGGCTGGTGCCGTGAGTTCCTTGAGACCATGGCTTCTGAATCTTTGAACCCATGGCACCACCGGCAAAGCTGTGCATACCCAACCACTCAGCAGCGGGCAAGCACCGTGCCAGGCTCTGGGGGGCCAGTGGTGAGTGGGACAGAGTGACCACAGAGAGTAGGTTCTCTGTAGTTATCTGTTAAACATGCTAGCTGAGACCCTTAACTGTGGCGTGCCCCAGAGAGGAAGCCTGCTTCTCTGCTCTCCGTAAAGAGTAAAGATCCCGGGGTCAGGGGTGTCCTATGGTGGTTATTCTGAGAGAGCTCAGTGGGTAAAAACACCACGCAACCATGGGGACCTGAGCTGGGATTCCCCAGAACTCAAGTTAAAGCTACGTTCGGCAGCGTGCACCTCTCATTCAAGCCCTCCCGCAGCAAATGGGAGGCTGGGACCAGAGCATCCCCAGACTGCAAGCCGGCACGTCTAGTACGCAGTGATGAGCAATGACAGACACTGCCCCAAAGAGCGTGGAAGGCGGAAACTGACCCCTGAGCTTGTCCTCTGACCTGCATGTGTGTGCCATGGCAGCGTGCCTGCACTTACACACACACACACACACACACACACACACGGGGGGGGGGGCTGTTTAGTTTTTGAAGGGTTTTGTTGTTTTGTTTTGCTTTTCTCAAGAGAGGGCTTCTCCGTGTGGTCCTGCTGTGCTGGAGCACACTGTGTTGCCCAGGCTGGCCTCGAACTCAGAGATCCAACAGCCTCTGCCTCCCAAATGCTGGGATTAAAGGTGTGCACCCCCACCACCTGGCTCACACAGAGATTTTTAGAAGATCACAAAGACAGAGCACCGAGGGCCTGATGAATCCAGGCCCACGTGAGACTGGGGACGGGGGGGGGGGGGGGGGGGTAGGCCCTCCAGCTCCTTCGTGACCCTCTCGGGAGCTGCAGGCAATGTCTTCTTAAATGGATGGGGGAAACACCCAGTGAGGTTAACCCTGGGAGAGAAGCAATAGCCAGGACGGGAGCCGAGCCCACCCTCGAAAGTCTTCTAAAGGTGTCAGGGGTGGATCTCTGCCTCTCTGTCCCCACGCACAGCGCTTAGTTTGGCTTGAAGTAAGCAAGCAACACAGAGCACGAGATGGGATGGAACTGGATCTGGCTGGTGGTCAAAAGCCAGCACACAGATGCTCCGAGGCGGAAGAGGGGACCAGGGCAGACAGGGATCGGCCAGACACACTTGCAACAAGGAGAGGGCAGGCGGGCGCAGGGGTGGGCCGGTGTTGTCAGCCTTGGGATTCACCGCTCCGGGGCCAAGCAGCTGGTTGGAAACAAAAACAAACAGCAGGGTACAGGTTCCTGCTGTTAACAGCTTCAAACCGCCAGAGGAAAACTCCAAATAAATATAATTAGAAACTTGTAAAAAAACGTCCTCTCTGGAAGCCTGCCCCCCAGGGCCTGCCCCTTAGGCATCACACCCTTCCACAAGCCTTCGCCCAGCGGAGCCTGATTCTGTACTTCATCCAGGGATTCCGCAGGCCTGTTTTCTTATCCTGCATCTTCTATGGGCCTGCAACCTCTTCTTCAGTTGGCCACTGTAACCACGACCAGACAGCCCCAGGCACAAAGCTCTAAAACTCACAGCCCACAGCTCTCTGGGGCTATGGTTTGTCACAAGGGGAAAAACCATTGGCAAACCAAGGCGCCCAGCGCCCTGTTCAGAGGGTCACCGACCCACATCTGAAAGCCAACGATAGATCCAGCCAACTCCAGAGCAAGCCCTTGGTCTGAGGAGGGAAGGGCTCTGTGGGGCATGGAGTGGGGTGTCAAGGGGGAGATACAGAGGGCAGCCTTGGGCACCACAGGGTGTGCGTACACAGAAACACACATTTCCTATTTCCTTCAAGGGTTGCTTTCTAGGGAGCTGCTGGCCCAACACGGGACTATCAGATACTTGAGAAACTGAGGCAGAGGGAAGAAAGGAAAAATGCCAAGTGGCAGGGCCTCCAGCAGACAGAGCAGGGTCCCGGTGGAGAGGGCCATGCCTTTAGGTGGAAACTCAGGGCAGGACCGAGGCTCAGCAATATTCAACAAGTCCAGGAAAACGGGCCGAACCCCAGTGTCCCTGGGCACTAGGCTCTGCGTTTGCCAAAACTCACACCTTATCTTCCGCCCACCTTAGTGCCACCTGAGTGGAGCAGAATGCAGGCTGTGGGGAAGAGGGTCTGTCTGCCAGCCTAGAGATGGGGCCCTCGTCCCCCTGGCCCCTGCCCAGGTGAGTAGCCCATTCATCCACCCCGGGGCTGACTGTCCCCACCTCTCCCCAGGCGCTGGCAGCCCACTCCTTCCCAGACTCCCGTCTCCCCAGGTCTGGGCCTCCCGAAGCACTGCCAGCCCTGACAGGAACTCTTTCTTACTGCGCCGGTCATGTGCTGAGGGGCACGGAGGCCCACACCCGCACACCGAAGCGGGCCAGGCCAGGCCAGGCGGCAGCCAGCTCCTCCACCTCCACCTTCTCCAGGGGATCTGAGGGCACCCCCTGCCCCCACCCTCCATTCAAGGCGCCCGACCAAGCCATCCTCACCCCTCTCCTTCTCCAACTAAAACAACACACACGAGCCCACCTCCTCCACCTCCTCCTCCTCCCCCCCTCACCAGAGCGCCCCACACATGTGCTCACACACACACTGAGTCATGAACATTGCACACTCACACACCACGGTGGACGCACAACCTCACATTCCCAAACTCACACTCTGCGGCCTGGCCCCGGCCGCTCACACCTCAGACTGGTTCTCATGGCCTCAGGTTCCAGGTTCTCATCTGGGGGTTCCTGACCACTCTCTTCTCCCTCTACCTGTAGTGGCTGAGGCTCCCAGGACTTCCGGTCCCCTCACTCCATCCCACCCTACAGAGACTTAGGGATGAGAGGTGACAAGTGAAAAACAAAACTTATATCCCCACTCCAGACTTTCCCCACACCTAGAAGAGGCCATCAGCAGGCCTCGGAGAGGGGTCGGAGGGATTCCTGAGGACTTTCTTAAAATTGGGATGAGCATAAGGAAACTGATAAAACAGGAGGCTCCGAGAGTGAGGTCTGTCTGTCTGTCTGTCTCTCCAGTAGGGCCTCGATGGGGCACAAGGGGTAGCAGCCACCCGGGGAGCCACCCGCACGAGCTGACACGGTTATGGCTTTCATTTCATATTTTGGAGGGAGGGGCTAGGAGGAACAGTCCCCTCACTGTAGGAGCTGGCCACAGGAGCCGAGGGAAGCAGGGAGGAGAGGAAACAGCCACATTAAAGAGGAGGGGGGGGAGGAGAGAGACACATACTCCCAGACAGAGACCCAGAGACAGAGAGACACTGTTCCCCGCCAGATGAACGGCCTCAGTCTCAGGGACGGTGTGACTTCTAAATGGGCGGCTTTCTCAAAGTCTACCCCTAACAAGGAGAGAAAACTACCAGGTAAACTAAATGGCTGAGCTGGCTGTCCCAGAGCCTGCCTGGGGACAGGACCAATTCCCCCGGAGGCCCTGAGACCTTTTCATTCAGCTGCAACCTGAGCCGTAAGAGGGGAATTAGGTCTTTTTAACTGAGGCTGTCTTCCCACCTCTACCCCACCCCACCCCCAAAGCAGAGCAAATTAATGCTTTTACGTTTACAATTATCTTGGTTATCCAGTCTGTCTACTTTAAGACACACAGACAAGCACTTGAAAACCACTCAGAACCATGTACCCGGCAAGCTCACTCACTCCCGGTCCCACCAGCTGACACGCCCACCCGTCCACAGGGACAAAACTTTGAGCATTCCCGATTGAAAGGACCAGGTCCAGGATGGTGTCGGTGTCAGTGTGTCCTGTCCCTCTCTCCCTCTTTTGTACTTAGGTCACGTCCTCGCTCCTATCTGCTACGCCATCGCACGGCTCTGACTCTCCCAGAGAGTGTCCCTCCTCCCCAGGTGCAGCAGCTCTTTTGAAGATGCTTGCTGAGGGTGTCTGTAATTTACAGACCCTCTAGAGCGCCACTGAAAAGCACGTGGCATCAAAGGCCAGCTTCCTAGCCCTGATGATAGATGGGAGGTAGGCCGACGGGGCAGGGAGGCCTCCCAAAGCTCAGAGCACTATGGGTAAGCCTGTAAGGCTCAGACCAAACAGTCCCCTTCTCCCCTGAAGCATCTACCTGCACATTTTCCTTCTAGGGAAGCAGTATTCCTGCAGACCCGTTGTTAGGCAACCTTTGATGGGCAGGGTTGCACAGATTTCCTGAATGCTAGGGTTAATGAGAGGTTCCATTCTAATCCCAGCCAGACTCAGAGATCCGACGGTGGGGGTGGGGGTAGGGGGTGGGGCGGATACTGTCACCTCATGGGGCAGGTGTAGCTAGCCCACGGACTGAGATAAGCAGGGGAGCTGGAGGGTACCACCTCCACCTCGGCTGAGTGTCCCCCAGCACCCAGTGGGGCGTCCAGTAAAAGAAGCTGCTTCTTCTAACCCTGGCAGATGGGCTGGGCTCCAGGCTTGGGAGCCGTGCTTTCCCCACACCTGTCCCATTTAGGGGTCCGAAACTGCACCTGGAGCCCCTTTAATAGGCTGCCTCTCCTCTCGCCACCCCCCCCCATTAAGCCTCCCCCCAGCAGACACTGGCTCCAACTTGAAAGAGGCCCTTATCTTGTCTCTAGATTACTGCACGAAATCTGTTCCTTCCTCAGACTAAACTCCCCAGCTAATTCCATGTTATGAGTAAGTAAGTCAGCGTGAACTACAAAAGCCAGCTTTGTTTACGAAAACACACAAGCAGATCCGCAGTGAGCAGGGGCCGGTCCGGGCAGCCGGCTGTCTGGAAGGCTTCTGGAGCAGCAGTGTGGGGCTGGAAGCAGGCTGGGGTGGGCTCCGGGACTTGACAGCTAAGGGACTCTAGTGTTTAGTTATGTTAATAGACAGGTTGGAGGGGCCACGGGAAGGGGCAGTGTTTTGGGAGAGGAGGGTGGCGTTGGCTTGGCATCTTCTTCTTCGAACACAGTGAAAAGCCGGTGGTCTAGGGCAGCTTAAGACCCAGGCCCCTGGACACAGTGACCCGGCTGCCAGACGCTCAGACTTCCCCAACTCCCAAGTTCAACTTTCCTTGTGGCTCAGACACCTCCACCTCCCTGGCTGGCTTTGGGAGCCCCTAAGACCACGATAGGCAGAATCTACCTCCCGGGCAAAATCTTGCTAAGAGGAATTTTCTTTTTGTCCATATAAATCTCTTTTGGGTGAGGACGTGGGGGGAGGGGTGCAGCAGGTCAATGGGGGAGGGGAGGCCGTCCCCAGAGGGCTGTGGGACACCAGCCTGGTTTCTGCCAGCGCAGCCTTGGGGCTGGCCGGGCAGTGTGCTGGGGTCAGGAACCGGGGCAGGAGGGCCTCCCAGTCTCTCTCCGATTCCTAGAGGGATCTGTCAGAGCTCCCAGCCTGGAATTTTACCTTGTTGTTTTAATGCAATTCTGACCTGGATTTTAAATGGAATTGGAAACCCCAGGACTTGATAAATATTATGATAAGAAATGAAAGCCATGCGAAACGAAAGAGATTCCCTCCCCTCCTCCTCCCAAGGCAGAAACGCAAGGTCCGTGCCAGAAGCCAGTCACAGACATTTCCCCTCCTGCCCCCTACCAGCCCGTGACAGGCAGTCGCCTCCACCACGAAAGAGCCTGTTTTTCTTTACTGCCTCGATAAGACGGCAACTTCGACTTTTCGTGCGGGGAGGGGCGGAGGGCACGGAGCGGAGGGCACGGCGGAAAACTTCCTTCCCGCCGTCTCCAGCCCCCCAGCGAAGCCCCCGGCAGCGTCTGAGAGAGCATTCTCCGACCTCGGCCCGCGGAAGGGCGAGCTCCCTCCGGCCGGCCGCCCCCAGGCTCCCCGAAGCGCGCAACGCCCCGAGGAGCCCTGGCCCCGGCCGAGGAGCCGGGGCACCGGGCCGGGTCCTGACAGCCACGCACTCTCCAGGCACCTGCCCTGGCTCGGGCCCCGCCGCCCCGCCGCCCCGCGCCTCCCTTACCTTGCGCAGCTTTGCCATGCTGGGCGGCGCGCGCGTGGACCAGCAGGACGAGCAGGCAGAGCCCGGGGACGCGCCCCGAGCCCATGGCCTGGAGCTCCGCGCGGCGGGGCCGCTGGCTGGGGGACGTCGCGGCCCCGGGGAAGGCGCGAGGCGGAGGGGGAGGGGACTGCAGGGCGCCCCGCGGGGGGCTCCGGGCTGGGCGCGGGGCGGCGGCCCGAGGGGCGGCCCGGGCGATCGCACCCGACGCCCAGCTTCGCCCGCGGGGAGCTGGAGCCCGAGAGCGAGCGCGCGGAGCCCGGGCCGGGACCTGAGAAAGGGGAGGGGAGACGCAGAGCCTAAACACGCCCTTTCTGCCTCTTTCTTCCTCCCTTGCTCTCCCGTCTCCCGGGCTCCGTCTGTTTTTCTTCGCCTCTCTCCTCCTCCTCCTCCTCCTCTTTCTCCTCCTCTTCTTGCTCCTTTTCGTTTTCTTCCTCCTCCCCTTCCCACTGCCCCTCCTGCTTCTCTCCTCCGTCCTCCTCCTCCTCCACCTCCTTTTTCGTGCCCTTTTTTTTTTTTTTTTTTTTTCTTTCAAAGGGGGCCTCGGCGTGGCGGCCGCTCCCCCTGCGCGCCCGGGCGCGCGGCCCCCTCCCCAGGCTGCCGGGCCGCTGCCTGCAGGAATTTACAATCCGGCGCTGGGGGAGCGGGCCCGGTCTCCATGGAGACGGCTTCCCCGGGAGCAGGGAGGTCAGGCGCAGACCGCGCACAATCAATGGATCAATGCAAGCCCCCGCTCCGCTCCAGACCAAACAGCACCGGGGCTCCGGCTCGCCCGCTCTCCCGGTGGGGAGCTAGCGGGGAAGCCGAGGGTGCCCTCCCCCCGCGCACGCCAGGAGGGCCGAGCGGCGCAGGTCTGCACGCGCACCTCGGCGGGGAGACAAAGAGGGCGCGGGGTGTCGGGGGGGGGCGTGGGGGGGGAGGCTGGAAGGGCTGCACCTCTGAACAGAGACGGGCTCGGACTCCGGGCCCAGTAACGTCCTCCGAACTTTTACCCCCAAGTCACTCCCACCCTCTGAACACAATCCTCATCCTCAGATCCGAGTCCCGGCTCTAGGGCAGGCTCTGTGGGCGCTGAAAGTGACCCCGGTGCACACTCCTGAGGGCACCGTCTCGCGCTTGCACACCGGCAGAGGCTAACCCACCATCTTTTGGGGTACACACAGAAGGCTCTGTACGCCACCTCCAAGCCGGCTTCCACGGCTAACCTCGTCGGGACCCAGCTGAAGGAGCCAGGCCTGGACACCGGCCCCCAGCCCTTCAGTCGCTCTCGGCCGATTGTACCAGGCCTCAGAGTCCTGCTCCAGAGCCAGTTTTGTGCAGGACAGAAACTCTCATCCCAGGGTGCCCAGGAGAACTGGGCAATGACCAAGGTCTCCCTGAAGATGACGCGGATCTCAGACCCTTGACATTGGCAGCCGGCACCGGCTGGGGTGGGCTGGGGTGGGGGTGGGCTCCGGCAGCGGACTCCTTTCTACCCTGGGGAAGAGTCCTTCTTTCAGCGGGGATTAAATGGAGAAGTGAGAGAATGGGCGCGGGCTTTGAGGGGAGGCTTTGAATGTTCCTGTCCTGCCTCCCGAGACAGATTCCTCTTGTCTTTCAGCCCCATCCCGATTGGCCTCAGTTTCCTCAGCTGGAAAATGAGGGCGGGTGAGAGCACGCTGCCCTCCGAGAGCTGGGAAGAGGACTCCCCGAGGCCCCTTGTATAATTTGAGAGTTGGCGCGGGGGAGGTGAAGGCACGGGTCATGGGAATGGTGTGGAGGCCACCGAAAGGTTGGTCAGATGACCCCCTACAAGGTCCCTCCCAGCCCTGTCACTCTTGAGAGCCCCCCTCCGTCATTCCTCTGGTAAACCCCTCCCTCTGCAGCAGCCTCGCCTGCTGCCACCAATTATGTGGAGGTGGAGGACAAGTTCAAACTTGTCATTCTTTTTGCCCCAAACAAGAGGAGAGAGAGAGAGAGGTTGGAGGTACCCAGACAGTGCCTGGGGGAACTGGAGAGCGCGGAGGAGCCCCAAGGCGGCGAGGGAATTTTGTCTCGGCCTTCCTTGAGCGTGTGCATCCTTCTGCATCCTGGGGTGGGAAGGTGGGGGGGTCGTGCCGCCCACTCACTGCTGCGCCACAGCTAAGGTGGGCACTGTGGAGAACTCCCCGGGGTTTTCTGGGGCCTTCTCAGTAGTTCCCAGACCCCCTTGGCGTCTTGGGTGGATGGCGCAGTGGCGTGACCCTTCCAAGCCACTCCGTCCTCCGGAAGCCCTGATGGGTTGCTGCTGCTCCCTTCTTTCCGCTTCCGCTTCCCGGTTGGCCCCCTCTGAACATCCCCTCAGCTCCCCTACAACTCAGGGAGCAGCCCACGGCCTTAGCGCTCTGCCGCCCCCACCTCGGCCCCCACAGAGGACTCAGTGGGGGAGGCGGCAGGGTTCGTACCCTTGGGCACAGTGAGTCCAGCTGTGGCCCCATTCCCCATGCTCTGTCACTCTGTGCGGGGTCTCACGCCCAGACAATGACTCAAGACCACTAGGAAGGAATGCAGGGATGTTAGCGGCCTGAGACAAAGCGGCCACTGCCCCCTGGTCCTCCCCACTCAGCACTCAGCTGCATTTTTTAAATTTACCTTTAATTAATTTATTTAGTGTCCTCCCCCTCCCTCCCCACCTAGGGGGTGTTTTGTCTTTTGAGATCACGGCTCATGTAGCCCATGAGTCCATGCTGGACTGAGACTCACTACCAACCCAGGCTGACCCCGAACTCCTGGTCCTCCTGCCCCCACCCCGAATCTCACCTCTCAATTCCCAGGCTTTCTCAAAGGTGAGACCAATCCACACTGTAGTCCACAGGGAACGCACGCGTGCAAACACTTGTAGGTCAGAGGTAAACTTCCAGCGTCTTCTTCAGCTGCTCCCAGTCTTTATTTCATGTATGTATGTATGTATGTATGTATGTATGTATTTTTGGTTCTTTGAGACAGGGTTTCTCTGTGTAGCCCTGGCTGTCCTGGATCTCGCTCTGTAGACCAGGCCGGCCTCGGACTCAGAGACCCTCCTGCCTCTGCCCTCCAAGTGCTGGGATTAAATGGATGCATCGTCACTGCCTGGCTTTTTTTTTTTTCCTCTTTATCTTTCGAGACAGGGTCCCTCACTGAACCTTCGGCCTGCCTGCTGGCCACCAAGTCTTGGGACCCTCCTGTCTCTGGCTCCGCGGTGCTGGGTTGTGGGCGTGCACAGCAGAAGCTGGCTTCACGTAGGTTCTGTGGAAGAACCAGGTCCTCATGCTCAGGCAGCAAGCCCCTGACCATCTGAGCCATCTCTTCAGCCCTCAGCCCAGGTACCTCTATGACGTCTGCGTAGAGACGTAGTCGCCTCGCAGGGCAGTGCAACGGTACGTGGAAAATACCTGGCCCAGACCAGGCACCTGACAGGGTCATGGCTGCCACTTCCACCGCCTGGCAGGAACAAAGAGCCACAGTGTTGGATGGGCGACAGGTCCAGCAATGCCTGCGAATGAAGTGGCCTGGGGTCAGGGGAGGCTTTGATGCTTGGGGTGCCGGCAAGGTCAACTGGGCTTGAGTCTCCCCACCCCTAACAGGTTCCTGTCTGTCACACATTCCTACAGAGACGGTTCCAAAAATTCCATGCATTCCAGTGCATTGCCTTTCTCCACAGCCCTCCATTTTTACAGAGAACGAAGGGGCTCACCTGCCCGCACCAGGCCCTGACCCTCCTGCCCTACTTCCTTACACCCCTACTCTACCTGAGGAAGATACGGACGCCTTGACACGGATCAGAGCCCCCAGCCACTACGCGTCTGTCAGCTATCCATCCATCACACCCTCCAGCACTCTTTGCTCCCTTGTTCAGAGGCATCGGAGACTTCTCTGTGTTCCCTCTGTCTAATGCTCCCACAGCCATGTTCTTTCCTTCCTCCGTGTGCTGTGATGCCCAGCTCCTGGCACCCTCCTATGCTCAGCAGAGCTGGGCTAGGGCTCAGTGGGGAGAGCCTTTGCTTTGCACTCACAAGGTCGAGGGTTCAGTCCCCGGCAACGCGATAAAGTCACCGTGTGGCCACAGTGTGCAGGAGGCAGGCAGGCAGGAAGGGGCGGGGCGGACTGTGGAGGACCTGACTTCAGCTCTCAGCACCCACACACAGTGTCACAACTGCCGGAAACGCTAGTGCCAGCGGCTCGTTTTTCTGGCCTCTGAGGTCACAAACTCAGACCACACACGTAGGCATGTAATTAAGGATAAAAGCAAATCTTTAAAGAGAGAGAAGGGAGGGAGGAAGGGAGAAGGGAAGAAAATGTAGCCCCACGTGGTGGCCCACAACCATCTGTAATGATGAGATCTGGTACCTGGCGCGCAGGCACACATGCAGGCAGAGCACTGTGTACATAATAAATAAATCAATTTAAAAAAAAGAAATATGAACGCAAGCCGGTGCTGGACAGATAGAAGCGCGTGGCCGAAAACGGAAAGAAGGGAGGGGCTCTCGATTAGGCGGCAGCCTGACGGCCCTGTCTCCTGGTCCTCCAGCAGCATCCTTCTCCGGCATGAACATACAGGCACCCCCCTCCGCCGCTGGGGGAGAGGTCCTTCCCCTCCGCCAACACCGTGTGCGTGGACCTGAACATCTGACACAGCCTAGGCTGCAAAGCCATGCCAACCTCCCAACCTCCCAGGCTTCCTGCAGGAGCCTGCTTGCCCCCAGTCCTGACCTGCCCCCACCCCACCCCCTCACTCTAGTGCAGCATGGCCCGGACTCTGACGCTTGCTCGCTCTCTCTCTCGGGGATCCAAGGTCCCTTGTGGCCTCCACATGCATTTTCACATCCTGGGCCGCCTGCCAGGCCTTATCAAGCCTGACCCAACTTCGTCATCCCAAGGTCTCTGTACATTTTTCTCTCCGGTCTTGGAAGCCCCTCCTTTCCCTGGATCCTCTCGGCCATTTTCGTGTTGGCTCGTGGAACTTGGAGACCTTCTGGGCCAAACTCCCTCCTCCCAGCCCCAGCCCCTGACCTGTCTACTTCCCAAGAGCTGAGCTGAGTGGCCCCCTGACCC